TTACGTGCGTCGCGTCGATTCGCCCCCTCCCTCCCCGCGCCCCCCCCCCCGCGCGATCGGTCGCGGCGCGGTGCCGGGGAGGCGTCGCGCGCGGGGACGCGCGCGGCGAACCCGGCGGCGGCGTCCGCGCCCCGCGCCCGCGCGCGGCCCGCGCGCGCGCGCCCCCTCGCGCGTCGATCGATCCTCTCTCTTGTCCGTTCCCGAACGATCTTTTTCTCCGATCAATTTTCCGAACTTGGCGACCCCGCGCCCGCCGGCTGACGTTCCCATCCCATCCCTTCCCATCCCATCGCGCAGTGTTTCCGCAAGTGCGATAACGTGCGATGGAGCTTCAGCAACCCCTACTTCGTCCGCGGCGGCGAATCCGCGATGGTGCGCATTCGCAGAAGACTGCCGAAGCCGCGTAACGAAGAAGCCGCCTCCGCGGCGGCGGCGAGACGCGACGCCGCCAGCGCGTCGGCGCCGGCGCCGCCGCTCGAGCCCTCCAACGACGGCGCCGCGGCGGACGCCCGCAACGCGGCGTTGTCGTTGGCGTTGAAGTCGGCGATGGACGCGCGCGCCGCCGCGGAGATCAAAACCGCCGTGGAAGCGCAGGCGCGTTCTATACACTGGTTCCCATACGACCCCGTCCGCGTGGTGAACGCCGATCCTTAAGGACTTTTCCCGGCGTGTCTCTCCGCCCACTCCACGCTTTCAATCCCCGCGCGCGACGCCTTTCGACTCCAACTGACGCCTTTCAACTCCACCCCGACGGTCGCTCGTATGGAACGACCCTCATCAGGCGCAGGTGCAGGCGCAGGCGCAGGCGCAGGCGCAGGCGCAGGCGGCCGCCAGCGCGGACGCGATGGCGCACATTCGCGCGCACCACGGAATGGCGCCGTTGAAGTATGGCGCGACCTCGACCGCGGGGGCGGTCAACACGCGGTTTGAGGTGCGTTCTATACACTGGTCCCCATACGACCCCGTCGCCGTGGTGAACGCCATTCCTTAAGGACTTTTCCCGGCGTGTCTCTCCGCCCAGGGTCCCTCGCTTTCAATCCCCGCCCGCGTTGCCTTTCAACTCCAACTGACGCCTTTCAACTCCACCCCGACTTCGCTTTGTATGGAACGACCTTGAGCCGTCTACGGTGGCGGCTGCGCTCGGCACGCACAGCGCGACGGAGCTGGTTCTGATGCACCGCGTGACGACGTTGGAGCAGGTGGTGGATCAGTTGCTCTCGCTGTTTTACCGTCCCGCCGCACGCGATTCGCGCGTGGCAAGCTCAGGTGGCGATGTCGTCGAACGCGGCGATTCCGGCGGCTGCGACGACGGCGGCGGCGGCGGCTCCCGGATTCGCCGGGTCGTTCGACGCGCTGGCGACGCGACAGCTGTACGAGCAGTGGGCGGGCGAGGCGGCGGCGCGAGGGAGGGATGACGTGCGTCTCTCGCCTAAACCTGGTAAGGATTGATCGAGCGGCGAGGGGAGGGAGGGAAGGGAAGGGTGTTGTATTGGTTACGTGTAGATTAAGTATGTATAGACACGTAGATTAAGTATGTACGAAGGTATTATTAAGATAAGCACATCAAACTACACGCGTGTCTAGCAGACGAACGTACTGCTATCAAACTTATCGATCCAACGCGCGCGCTCGAACGTTTCACCGTTTCACGCCCCTCGGGGTCAACCTCGAGCGTTCTCCCTCTCGACCGACCGACGAACGCGTCCCGCCCCCCTCGATCGATCGCGCTCGCGCTCGATCGATCGTCCCGTCTACTAGGGCTAAGTTGTTACTCGGTCATCACGTCGCGCGCTCGACCGACAGCAGCGGCTCGCCCTCGCGCACCTCCGCGTCGAGTCGCGTCAAGATCTAAAGGTCGTTCCGTACAAAAAGAGTTCTCCGGTCAGTTGAAAGGGGACGCGATCAAATGTTGAAACCGGGCGATGGGTGAAAAACTTTTGCACATAGAACGCACCTCCGTCACCACCATCCTCCGATGCCCGGTCGCGCGCACGTTCAGGCACGCCTTGTGCGTCTCGATGACCACCGCGACGTGCCCCTCGTCGACGACGTCGCCTACCTCGACGTTTATCTCCGCGACGTCGCCGACGACGCCGTCGGGAATGGAGACCTGGTCGCTTATGACGGGCGTGAGGATGCGCCATCGCGCGTCGCCGCGCGCGACCGCGGCGTCGTCGTGCGACGCGCGGAGTTGACGCGCGGCGCACGCGCGCGGCGGCGAGGGCGAGGGCGAGGTCGACGCGCGCGCCGCCGCCGCCGACGCCGACGCGGGGAGGACGGACGCGCGGAGGAGCGACGCGAGCGCGCGCCGCGCGCGAGGGACCGTCGCCATCCGGTGCCGGTATCTCCGCGCGCGCGCGTGTGTTCGTTCGTTCACCGACCTCTCGGTTTCAACATTTGATCGCGTCCCCTTTCAACTGACCGATGAACCTATGTACGCATCGGCGGCCCTCGAAAAAGCCTCCTCGCTCGCGACCCGACCGCGACGCGTCAACGATCCATCCAGTGGACGCCGCGCGGGGGACGCGCGTCGGCATCATGAGCGCTCTTCTCCGAGCCGCGCGCGCGAGCGGCGCTCTGAGAGCGGCGACGCGCGACTTCGACGCGCTCGCCAAGGCGCGTCCGTCGTCCGCGCGCTCGAACGTCCCTCCCCGCGCCCCCGTCGCGTTCGCGCTCGCGCCCTTTGACGAGCGAGCGAACGCGCTGACGAACGAACGCGCCGTCATCGCCCCCTTCCCCCTTCTCCTCCGCAGGCCCCGGGCGCGCGCGCGTTCAGCGTCAGCGCGGTCAACAACGGCGGCATGGGCGTCCCGGTCCCGCCGCACCGCCCGCCGACGGCCCCGGTGCGCGATCGACCGACCGATCGATCGATCGTCGCGCGCCCCGCCCCTCGCCTCGATCGACGCCCGCGCGTCGAGAACCGAAAAAAAAAACCCTACACCGCCGCGCGCGTCGTCCTCCTCCGACTGACGATTCGTATCCCCCCAACCGAACCGACGATTCGTATCCCCAGATCCCGGAAGAGGCCGAGCTCACGTGGGACATCGGCGACGGGAACCCGGAGTCCGCGCTGGACAAGGTCCCGGAGAACGTGCTGTCGAAGCGTGGCGCGGCGGCGTTGTTGGCCACCGGGTTAGGTTTTTTCGTCGGCCTGTATCACTTCGCGGGGTATCTGGATAAGGCGTCCACGGTGCCGTTCGCGCCGAGGACGTACCCGTACAATAACTTGAAGGAGGAGCTCGGCGGGCACGAGGACGGCGGCCAGCCGAAGTGTTGACGAGCGAGCGAGCCGACGCGCGCGGGAGGATCGACGGTATGTCGCGAGCGACGTGATGACAATAATGTCACGACGCGTTCTACAGTATAGGATGTTCGTTCGATCGATCGTCCGTCGTCACCCGCGCGCCCGAATCGCGTCGCCCGAATCCGAATCCTAATCCTAATCCTCCGGCGGAACCACCTCCCCGGTCTCGCGGTCGATCATCACGGGGGGCCGTCGCGCCGCCACCTTCTCCTTGAACATCGCCTGCGCCTCCTCCCACACCCGGTGACTCTCCTCGCCCTTTCCGGGCTTCCGCGTCTTGAGCGCCTCCACGGGGATCTCGTCGCCGCGCTTCGTCGCGCGGCGCCACCAGTGCGTCATCATCCCGAGGTTCTTCTTTCGCACCGTGACGCGCACGCACCGTCGCTCGTCGCCGACGCCGCGCGGCTCGTAGTCTGCGACGACGCGACGATAGGTCGAGGGACGACACGCGTCAGGTATGCGGGTATGCGATTGGTGGATAAATATCCAACGTGTCAAAACGTGAGGTTCACAGCGCGCGAAAGAAAAGAAGTCCTTAAGAAACGACGCGCGACGCGCGAACGGGGTCGTGCGGGGAGCGGTCTCGACGCACCGCACAGCTCCCAGTCGCCGAATTCAAAGTTATCGCACGCGTCGTAATCGTCCAGGTGCCCGTTGATCTCGTCGTCGCGGTCGCGGTGCTCGGGGTCTATCGGATGCGCGAACTCGTCGTCGAGTAACGTGTGGCCCATGTGCGTTACGCTTATCTTCGTCGGCGTGCACTTCACGACGACGTCCTTCGCCTTGGCGCCGGCGGGCGCGAACGCGCTGATCGTCGCCTCTCTCTCGTCTTGGCACCACACGTAGCGCCCGCCGGAACTCTCGCTCTCCCTCTCCTCGCCGCCGTTGAGCGTGAACTTCTCTTTGCGCGCCGCAAACGCGGACGCCGCCTTACTCGCGGCTGTCGTCGCGTCGTCGCCGCTCGAGCCCGCCGCGTTCGCCGCGTTCGCCGCGTTCGCCGGCTGCGCGTTCGCCATCGCCATCGCGTTCGCCGCCGCCGTCGCCGGCGTCGTCCCCGTCAGACGCACCGTCCTCGCGTTCCCGATGGGCGGCGGCGACGGCTCGCCGATCCCTCGCGTCTTCGGGAAGTACCCCGGCGGCGGCTCCGACGGCGGCGGCATCGCGCCGACGTACTCCCTCCTCGGCCCCACGACTGCTTTTGACGCGTCGGACGCGCTCGGAGGCGCTCTTAGTCCGTGCTTCAACGCCCACGCGTCGTCTTCGAAGTACTCTCGCTCGTCGTCGCTGCTGGAGACGTCCGCGGCGACGCGATCGAACCGCGCGTAGTCGATCGCGGACGACCGCCGCGGTGGATCAGGCGGAGGACGCGCGTCCGGATCCGGCGCGCGCACCTCCGCGACGATCGCGTCGCGATCGAGGTTCGGCCCTCCGAACGTCACGCGGCTCGGGCCCTCCAGACGCGTGACCCGCGGCGCGCCGCGGCGGCGCGCGGCGTCGTCGTCGTCGCCGTCGGCGCCGACGTCGAGCGCGTCCCACTTAGAGTAGTCGACCATCGCGGCGGCGAGGCGAGGCGAGGCGCGCGCGCGGAAGGATGCCGGGACGAGGCGAGCATCACCGTCGTCGTGGCTAAAAAATTATGACTTTTGTTCTCAGGTCGTCGATTGTATTCGTACGAAAAAAACGTATGCGGCCCAGTCAGGACGCGACGCCCCGTACGCGTACGCGCGCCGATCGCGTCGACTCGTCTTGTCTTGTTCCCCCGCGCGTCTCATCACGCCGCGCGGAAGCCACGGTGCGTCGCTCGCTTCCATCCCTCTCGCGTCGTCGTCGTCCTCCTCCTCCTCCTCTCGTCGGACGGACGTACGTCGTTCCTCGCCCGCGGCGTCACCGACCCGCGCGGCGCGGCGCGGCGTCCGTCCGTCCGCGGCGTCGTCGACTCCCTCCCATCCCATCTTCGGACGCGTCCTCGTCTCCCTCGCGTTGTCGACATCGGAAGATGAAACGCGACGGACGCGCTCGCGCGCGCCCGCCCGCGGTCTCGTCCCCGTCCGCCCCGTCCACCCGCACCACCCCGCGCTCCCGCGCTCCCTCGCCGACGGACGTCGTCCTCCCCCGACCGCGCACGCCGCAGAAGACGCCGCGAACGTAACGTCGCGGGCACGGTCCCCCGCGCGGACGGATCTCGCCCCGCGTCTCCGGGTGTCCGCGTTGAAAAAAAGGGACAGCTGTCGTCGTCGTCGTCGTCGTCGTCGTCGTCGTTCTCGTCGTCGTTCTATCAAACAAACATGGGCGACCTCGGCGGCGGCATCGCGATCCGCGAGAAGGCGATCGCGCTGGTGAAGGAAGCCGTGGAGAGGGACAAGGCGTCGGAGTACGCCGCGGCGTTCAAGCTCTACACGTCCGCGCTCGATCACTTCACCGTGTATCTGAAATACGAGAAGAATCCGATGATGCAGCAGGCGCGTCCCGTGTCACACCGGTTCCCATACGACCGCGTTCGCGTTGTGAACTTCATTCCTTAAGGACTTTCTCTCCCGGCGGGGCGGTCGTCTCTCTCCGCCCAGGGTCCCTCGCTCACAATCCCGACAACCCTGCGGCGGCGCCTTTCAACTCCGCCCCTGACGCCTTTCAACGACTCCGCCCCGTCGTCGCTTCGCGCGCACCGTCGACCCTCAGACCATCAAGACCAAGTTCACGGAGTACCTGGAACGCGCGGAGGAGCTCAAGAAGCTCATGGACGCGGACGACGCCGCCGCGGACGGGCGCACGAACCCGAACGCGTCGCCTGAGCTCATCAAGGCGCGGCCGAAGGATACTAAGAAGGGCGGCGTCGGGAAGGGGGGCGCGGAGGACGACGAGATGAGCAAGATGCGCGGCGCGCTCGGTGCGCGCCCACGTGTCTCTTCGCGACACGTGTCTCTTCCCCGACCGCGCGCCGTTCCACGTCACCGAATCTATTCGAATCGCAATCATCACTCGCTGACCACTCTGTGGCCTCCGCGCGTCGCCGCCCACCCGTCCATCCGCCCGCCCGCCCGCAGGCGGAGCCATCGTCACGGAAAAGCCGGACGTCAAGTGGGACGACGTCGCGGGCCTGACCTCGGCGAAGGAAGCGCTGAAAGAGGCGGTCATCCTCCCGGTCAAGTTCCCGCAGTTCTTCACCGGGAAACGCAAAGCGTGGAGCGGTTTCCTTCTGTACGGTCCCCCCGGCACCGGGAAGTCTTTCCTCGCGAAAGCGGTGGCCACGGAGGCGGACTCGACGTTTTTCAGGTGCGTTCTGTTCACTACAAACATTTTTTCACCCACCGCTCGGTTTCAATATTTGATCGCGGACCCTTTCAACTGACCGGTGAACTAACTATTTTTGTATGGAACGACCCTCATCCATCAGCATCTCATCCTCCGACCTCGTCTCGAAGTGGATGGGCGAGTCCGAGAAGCTCGTGAACCAGCTCTTCACGATGGCGAGAGAGAAAAGCCCGTCGATCATCTTCATCGACGAGATCGACGCGCTGTGTGGCGCGCGCGGCGAGGGCGGCGAGAGCGAGGCGTCGCGGCGGATCAAGACTGAGATTCTCGTGCAGATGCAAGGGGTGGGCAACGAAGCGGGCCGCGTCTTGGTGCTCGCGGCGACGAACACGCCGTACCAGCTCGACCAGGCGGTTCGAAGGCGGTTCGACAAGCGGATATACATCCCGCTGCCGGACGCGCCCGCGAGGGCGCACATGTTCAGAGTGCACGTGGGAGAGACGCCGCACGATCTCACAGACGCGGATTTTCAGGCGCGTTCTATCTCACGCCGGTCCCCATACGACCCCGTTCGCGTGGTGAACGTCGATCCTTAAGGACTTTCTCTCTCGGCGCATCTCTCCGCCTACGTACCCCTCGCTTTCAATCCCCGCCCTCGGCGCCTTTCAACTCCACCTGACGCCTTTCAACTCCACCCCGACGTTCGCTCGTATGGAACGACCCTCAGTCGCTCGGCGCGCAGAGCGAGGGGTTCAGCGGCAGCGACATCGACCACGTCGTCAAAGACGTCCTGTACGAGCCCGTGCGAAAGACGCAGGAGGCGACGCACTTCAAGACGACCACCGGACCCGACGGCGACGAGCGGTACGTCCCGTGCTCGCCCGGCGACCCCGACGCGTGGGAGCGGACGCTGGAGCAGCTGGCGGAGGCGCGTCCCATCTCACACTGGTCCCCATACGACCGCGTTCGCGTTGTGAACTTTATTCCTTAAGGACTTTCTCTCCCGGCGGTCATTTATCTCCGCCCAGGGTCCCTCGCTTTCAATCCCGACACACCTCGACGCCTTTCAACTCCACCCCTGACGCCTTTGAAATCAATCCACCCCGACAGGACGGGCTCGGGGAGAGGGTGCATCCGCCGCCGATCTCGGCGAACGACTTCAGGAAGGTGCTGGCGCGCGCGCGGCCGACGGTGGCGGCGGGGGACTTGGAGGAGCACGAGCGGTTCACGAGGGAGTTTGGGGAGGAGGGATGACGCGTTCGCGTTCGCGTTCGCGTTCGTATCGTGTGAGAAGACGGGTAGGCGCGTCTCTCGTTCATCGTTCGCACTCATTCGCCGCGGCCTGATGCGTCCCGACAGAAATTACGCGTACACGTACTCGTACTCTATGTGTATTTAGTTTGAATCGAACGCGCGCAACTACCTGCAACTGGTCCATCGCGATCGGGGCAACTCTTCGCGAGTTTTATTAGGGCAAGAAGTCGTTCGGCGCGTCCGTCAGAGATCGCCGCGCGCGCGTCGGCACGCGCTCCGATCGATCATGGGCGCGCCTCCCACGAAGTTCCCGTCCGGGTTCGACACCTCGCGCGTGTGGTCCCCCGCGGGCGGGTGGTTCGCCGATCCCAAGGCGTGGAAGCGGAACACCGCGATCGGGTTCCTCGCCGCGGGCGCCGCGGCGGTCGCGATCTTCAGCTACAGCCGGAAGGTGGAGGTGCGCGCGCGACGCCGCCCCCGCTCCTCTCCGCTCTCCGCTCGCGTCGCGGCGCGGCGCGCGACCGCGACTTTTTCTTCGAATCGATCGCGGCGACGCGCGCGGTCGATCGACCGCCGCGGCGGCTTCCGAACGAGCGAACGCCTCGCCGCTCTCTTCCGTCCACCCATCCATCCATCCTCGCGCAAATGGCGTCGTCTCTCCTCTGACCGACGCGACGACGCCTCTCTCGTCCGTCTCCTCTTCTCTCGCAGCAACGCCCGCTGTCGCCGACGCGACGGATCCCGAGCCAGGCGTGGTGCGACAACTTCCCGGAGGACGCGCCGAAGAAGTGAGCGCGCGAGCGTCGATCGTCGCGGACGCGCGCGGATCCTCGTCGCGCGCCCTTCTCATCACGCGCCGTCAGTCGCCATCCGCGGCAGGCGGCGCGTGATTGTAATTATATTTACTCTAAGCATCGCGTCAAAGTCCTCATCGAACGCTGCTAACACAACCCGAAGCACGTGTTCCGCCCGCGCTCCGCGCGCTCCTCTTCCCTCCGCCGCCGCTCCTCCTCCGCGGTCGCGAGCCGCCGCCGCTCGCGCCGCCCCTCCTTCCGTCTCGACTGCTCCGCCTTTATCTTCTCCGCGTAAAACGCGTCCGCGTCCTCCGTCGTCGGCGTCTTTCGGAGCGAACGTCGGGGTGGAGTTGAAAGGCGTCAGAAGCGGAGTTGAAAGGCGTCGAGGGCGGGGATTGAAAGCGAGGGACCCTGGGCGGAGAGATGCGCCGGGCAAAGTCCTTAAGGATCGGCGTTCGCCACGCCGACGGGGTCGTACGGGGACCAGTGTGACATAGAACGCACCTTTCGCCCCTGCACCTTTTCCAACACCAACACCAGGAGCGACTTGGGCATGTAATACGGCCGTCCCATGCTGCCGTCGTTGCGCTCCGTGTCCTCGCAGAAGCACTGCACGAGCGTCTCCATCGCCTCGGTGAACGCGACGACGAACGCGGAGAACATCGCCGCGGCGAATGCTGCGGCGAATAATCCGGGAAATAACGAGTTGTTCAAATCGTCCTGCGCCACGAGGAAGCTCACGTGCAAGAGCATCGCGACGCAACTCACGGTCGCGCCCATGGTGAGCAAGCACCCGCACACGAGCACGGACCGCGAGGCGTCGAAGCACAAGTCGACGAGCGGGCCGTGGCGCATCTTAAGGTGCAGCTGGTACCGCGCCGCGCGCTTCAACGCGACTCCGTGGAGCGCGATCTGGCACACCGCGCCCGGCTGGTACGCCAGCGCGTCGTTCCCGGGATTCCACGCGCCCCTGCCGCCCTTCCGCCTGAGGTGCGTTACATACAAAAATAGTTCATTCGTCGGTCAGTTGAAAGGGACCCACGCGATCGAGCGTTAATAAAACCGAGGGATGGGCGAAAAACGTTTGCATACAGTAGAACGCACCTAAACGTCAAGTAGTACGCGCGGCTCGCGAGCTGCTTCGGCGCGTACAGAAGGATCCAGGTCGCGAGCATCGCGAGCGAGCCGGCGTGAAACGCCAGCGTCCGGTGCAGCGCGGTGTAAAACGTCGTCTCGCGGCACCGCTCGTTCCTCGGCTCTTTGCTCCAAAACCACGCGCAGACGTGCATCGAGACGACGCAGCGCACGCAGAGCACGATGAACAGGATCCACCACGCCGCGCCGACGACGACGAGCGCGCTGAGGACAGTTCACCGGAAGGGTCAGTTGAAAGGGGGAGCGATCAAATGTTGAAACCGAGCGGTGGGTGAAAAACTTTTGTATAGAACGCACCTGAGGACGCGGTAGATGATGTGCATCGGCGCGGTATTCTCATCGTACTCCGTCCCCATCGACTCGGACGCGAGCGCGGAGAGGTACACGAACGCGGTGCCGAAGAAGGACATGACGGCGACGAGCGGGATCGTCGTCGTCGTCACGATGGTCATCATGAGCTCGGCGTTTTGTAAGATTTCCGCCGCCTGGTCCAAAAACAGCACCGCGACGTGCAACGCTTTCCTCTTGACGAACAGCACGCCCACGAGGAACACCGCGATGAGCAAGAGCACCGCCCCGAGGAACGGCCACGCGGTGTCCAGGTGCTCGCCGTACGTGAGACGCGCGTCGACGTCGTTCTTCGCGACGTCGTCGACGGCTTCGCTCGACGCCAGCGGCGACGCCGCCAGGCACATGCACAGCCCCCCGAATATCGTCACCGCGACGCCGCCGACGCACGAGACGATCGTGAACGCGAACGCGTCGCCCTCGAGCACGAGCGCGAGCACGTACGCGACGACGAAGGAGATCACGATGCCGAGCACGATGGCGTATCTCGCCGTGAGCACGTCGCCTATGGCCACGTTGCTCACGAACCGCTCCAGGGTGTTCACCGGCTCCGACGCGATCTTAAAGGCGGCGTCGATCGTAGCTTGTCGCGTCGACGCGGGCTGCGACTGCTCCGCCATCTTCGCCGGGACACACGCGTGGAACGCGGCGGAGTAATCGAGCGCGGCCTCGACCCAGACGCCGCCGGCGCAGTCGGACGCGGGCGGCGCCGCCGCGAGCAGCGACCGTGTGGGTCCCGTAGTCTCTGTCCGATCATCGTCATCCGTCCAATCGTCGTCGTCGGCTTCTTCTTCGAGCAACCTCCGCCTACTAAACCGCCGCCGACCGCTCGCGACGACGCCCTTCCCGCCGCCGACGCACATCTGCTGCCCGATCGTCGGGCACTTCTCCACGCAGACCGCGTCCCTGTCGCTCCCGGACGTGTCGTTCGGATGCCAGAGGTACCTCGACCCGCCCACGCCTTCGCCGGCGCCGCACAGCGCGCCCTGAGGGTCGTTCCATACAAAGCGACGTCGGGGTGGAGTTCAAAGGCGTCAGAAGCGGAGTCGAAAGGCGTCGCGGTGTGTCGGGATTGAAACCGAGGGACCCTGGGCGGAGAGATGCGACGGGCGAAGTCCTTAAGGATCGGCGTTCACCACGCGAACGGGGTCGTATGGGGACCAGTGTGAGATAGAACGCGCCTGAGCGTTATTCAGGTACCACAGGTACGCGTCGTCGCCGCTCTCGATCGCGACCGCGCCGAGAATGAGGCACAGCGCGGTCAGCACGCACATGATGTAGACGCCCCACCCGTCGCGGAACCGCCTGGGGTAGCTCTCCGGGCCGACAAAGTCGAGCTCGTGCGGTATCGTCTCGTGCCACCGCGCGATCGCCTTCGCCTTGCCGGAGGAGTACCGCGCGCCGTGCTTCGTGTTCCTGGGGCTCTTGATTCCCGCCGGGTTCGCCGTCGTGACGTCCCCGGGCGGCACGCCGTTACCACCGAAGGTTGGTCCCGCGTCGAAGACCTCGCCGCGTCGGCGGCGCTCCTCGTCCGCCTCCTTCTCGCGCTTTTTCGCGTCTTGCATCCGAGCCATCGGCCCGCGCTCGGCGTAGTCCCACTCGTCGTACGGATCCTGCGGGCGCGCGCGCGGACGGACGGGACGGCGTCAGAGGGAGGACGAGGAGGAGGAGGAGGAGGAGGAGGGATGGCGCGGGGGATTGGGGAACGCGCGCGCGCGCGGAGGAACGATCGGACCGGACGTCTCGAAGAAGCGCAAACGGGGGACGAGACGCGATGCGATGGACGTCGTTCCAGTCGTCGCACCGGAAGACCGTTCGCGCTGTCGAGCTCGCTCTCCGCGTAGCTCCCACTCGCGGCGTACGACCGCGCTCGCTCGACGTCGTCGTCGCGCTCGTCGTAGTCCGTGTACGCCGCGACGGAGTTTGTCGTCCTCCCCGACCGCGACCGCCGCGGGGAGTACGTCGTCGACGCGGCGACGCGGTTGCTCATGATGGCGGCGCGCGGTGGTGTTGGCCCCGCGCGTCGCTTCCGCCTCTGGCAGCGCGCGCGCCCTCGAAGTGCCGAGCGCGGGATGGATGATTCGCTCTTTTTTCTTCGCAAGCAAGCCGTTGACCAATGAAAGCCGCGGCCTCGGTAGCCTGACTAAAAGCTCGTACAGTACCCACCGCGCGCGTACGTAGTACAGGAGACGCGCGCCCGCACTGTCGGCCGCTGCCCTCTCAGAGCCGTTTCTTCGGACGCTCCCAGTGGCGCCCGCGCGATGTCGTGGTCGCGCTCGCCCGCGCGATGGCGCGACGACGCCGCCGCCGCGGCGACGCCCCCCCGCAGAGCGTCGTCGAGCGCGGCTCATCAGACGCGGAGCGCCGCGCGGCTCGAGCCGAGCACGCCCGCGACGCGGCACGTCGCGCACTGGAGCGGCGAACGGCGCGTCGGGCGCGGCGGAGTCGGACTCGGATCTTCTCCGCTTCGAGACGCGAGCAACGGCGACGCCGTCGCCGCGTCGCCGCCGCCGCCGCCGCCGCCGTTCGCGTTCAAGACGACGACGTACGCGCCGACGCCGTGGACGCCGCCGACGCCGCGCGACGACGTCGACGACGACGCGGCCAGCGATGCCATCTCGACGCTTCGACGCGACGCCGAGCGTGCGCGCACGCTGCGGAACGAGCTGCGAGTCCTCGCCGTCGGCGCCTCCTCCTCCTTCTCCTCCTCGGACGCGACGTCCAGGCTCGCGGCGGCGCTCCTCGCGAAAGGGGACGAGCTCGCGCGGGTGTGCGACGGCGTCGTCGCCGCGTCCGCGCGCGTCGCGACGACGAACGCGCGGGATCGGGTCGATCGATCGACGGACGGCGACGCCGCGGAGGCGAGGGCGCGTCGCTTGGATCTCGAGCTCCTCGACGCGAAGGACGCGCTGGTCGCGCGACGGCGCGAGTGCGTGCGCCTTCGCGTTTTGGCGGAGGAAGCGACGGCCGCGAGGGACGCGGCGTCGTCGGGGGCGACGCGTACGCGCGAAGAGAAGGAGAAACGTAGCCTCGCCGTCGGCTACGCGATGGCGCGCGCGAAGCGACGCGTCGAGCTCGGCCGACGATTCCGCGCGTGGAGCTCGTGGGCCTCGCGAAGCCTCGCGCGGCGCTGGTGCGACGCGCGCGAGACGCGCGCGCGCGCGACGGCGAAGGCGTTCGCCGGGTGGAGAGGACGCGTTCTTCCTCTCGACCGCGAACGCGCCGCCGCCGTCGTTCGCGCCGCGGCGTTCGCGACGTGGCGCGCTGCCGCGACGCGATCCTCGCGCGAGCTGCGCGAGACGTTGGACGCGGTGCGCGCGAGCGCGGCGACGGACGTCGAGCGCGCGATGGAACGCGCGGCGGCGGCGGAGCGATCGTCAGTCGCGTCGCTCGAAAAAACGCGCGACGTCCAAGACGCGCTCGAGGCTTTCGAGAGGCACGCGGCCGCGCGCGACGACGCGAAAACGCGCGAGCTCGACGCCGTCCGCGCGCAAAAAGCGGACGCGCGCGAGGAGATCGCGAGGCTCGAGAGGAGATTGTCGGAACGCGCGTCCGAAGCGGCGGTGCGTTCGTATTTACACCGGTCCCCATACGACCGCGTCGGCGTGGTGAACGCCGATCCTTAAGGACTTTTCTTCCCGGCGTCACTCTCCGCTTATCACCCCTCGGTTTCAATCCCCGCCCCTATGACGCCTTTCAACTCCACCCCTGACGCCTTTCAACTCCTCGCGCGAAACTGAAAGGCGTCGGAGGCGCTCCTTTCGGCGACGCGGCGCGAGCTCAAGGAGGCGCGAGACGGCGCCGCCGCGAAGAGGGCTTTTACTTGCGCGTCGTGCGACGACGCGCGGCGCGAGCTGGAGGGCGCGAAGATCAAGCTCGCGGCGACGATCACGGATCTCGGCGCGGCGCGGCGGGAGACGAGGCGACTCGAGGCTGAACTGTCGGAGAAGGCGAACGAACTGTCGGAAAAAGTTGCCGCGTCGTTCGCCGCGTCGGCGGACCTCGCCGAGCTGCGCGCCGCGTCAGATGCCACGTCATCCGCCACGTCGGCAGAACTCGCCGAGCTGCGCGCCGCGCTCGAGGCGAGCGACGCCGCGACGAGAGCCGCGGAGGCGCGCGAGAGGGAGACGCGCGACCGCGCGACGTCGCAGATCAAGACGGCGACGGACGCGGTGGAAGCCGCGGTCAGGCGCGTTCGTCGTCCTCGCACTGGTCCCCATACGACCGCGTTCGCGTGGTGAACGCCGTTCCTTAAGGACTTTGCCCGGCGATTCTCTCCGCCCACACCTCGCTTTCAATCCCCGCCCTCGGTGCCTTTCAACTTCAACTGACGCCTTTCAACTCCACCCCGACGTAACAGATACGCGACGGAGCAGAACGAAGAGACCGCGCGGCTTCATCGCGCCGTCGCCGCGCTCGAAGCGACCGCGACCGAGGCGCTCATCGCGGCGACAACCGCGGAGGCGTCCGCGCGATACCAGGACGAAGAGATCGCGAGGCTTCGCGCGGCGCTGACGGACGCGCGACGCGACGCGAGCGAAGCGCGCGACGTTCTCAAGACGCGGGGGGAGAGAGCGGGAGGCAGCCTCACGCGCCGGGGGCCCCAATCGCGCGCGTTCGCCGCGTGGCGCGACGCGACCGTCGACCGTCGACGCGCGATTAGGGGCGCGGAGGGCATCGAGCGACGGCGAGAGACGCGGACGTTGACGGTCCGTTTCGAGGCGTGGCGCGAGTTGACGGACGTTCGAAACGCGTTTCGACGGAGAGTCGCCGCGACGGAACAGGCGCGTTCTATACACTGGTTTCCATACGACCCCGTTCGCGTGGTGAACGCCGATCCTTAAGGACTTTGCCCGGCGTTTCTCTCCGCCCACACCACGGTTTCAATCCCCGCCCTCGGCGCCTTTCAACTCCAACTGACGCCTATGAACTCCACCCCGACGTCGCTTTGAACATCGGACACTCGCCCAACAGCGGACGAGGGCGCGCGTCGTCATGGCGGTCGCGCGCGCGTGGGATGCGGAGACGCGGCGGGAGAAGCGCATTCGCGCGCTGACGCGGCGGCATCGATGGAAAGCGGAGCGCCGCGCGATGCGAGCGATCGTGGACGCGTGGCGGTGGGAGGTGTTGACGTCAAAATCGACGAAGAAAGAGGCAAAGGACGACGACGGGATTCGCGGCGGCGGCGGAGTGCCGCCGGCGGCTGTCGAAGAGGCGCGCGTCTCGCTCCGCGTGTGCGTGATCCAACCGCCGCCGCCGCCGCCGATGCCCTCGGCGTCGATGAGGGAGTCGCGAGAGACGCAGACGCCGACCGCGGCGCGAGCGAAGATCTTTCATCGCGAAGAAGAGACGACGACGGCGCCGGCGACGAGGACCTTCCTCGTGAAAAAAACGAAGAAGAAGAGACCGGCGATTCATTCAGCCGTCAAACGCTGGCACGGCGCCGCGTACGCGCCGCCCACGAGACCGAAACCGAAGCCGGCGTCGACGCTCGTCACGCCGCGCCGAATCCGCCGCGAGACTGGTGAAACTGCCCTCGTCTCACCGCCGAAAACGGCGGCGTGGGACGCGTCGATTTACAAACCCCCGGAGACGGCGACGCCGCCGCCGTGGATGCCCCTCGGCGATTCCCCCGCGATGGCGAGCGTTGCCGCCGCCGCGAAGGCGGCGTTGAAGAGCGCGAGGCGACGCGAGCCGCTGCCCGCGACGCCCAGCGACGACACCTTCGCGGGGTTGGATCTGGGGGACCCGACGGACGACGACGAGGAGCCGCCGGCGCCGAAGAGGGTCCCCGGGCGCGGCGGCGGCGCGCCCAAAGTGCGCGCCAAGTACTGGGTTTCGTCGCGCGGCGGCTCGCGCGTCGACGCGCGCGCGGCGAGACGCTCGGACGCGCACTACGAGCACTACGACGTCGCGCGTAACGCCGAATGAATAGCACCTAGCTACTAGTATGATAAGTAAAGAATGGCCTAATTAATACTGACGACGCGACACCCGTCGATCTGATCTACGAAGGTAGACTATTCATTTTCGCCGTTGCGCGCTTTGCGTGCTCAACAGCCCCGCGAACGCCTCGTTCGGGATGTCCACGTTCCCGATGCGTTTCATGCGCTTCTTCCCCTCCTTCTGCCTCGACAGCAGCTTCTTCTTCCGCGAGATGTCCCCGCCGTAGCACTTCGCGGTGACGTTCTTTCGCATCGCGCTCACCGTCTCCCTGGCGACGACTTTCCCGGACACCGCCGCTTGCACCGCCACCTCGAATAACTGCAGTACAGTACGGAAAAAGTTCGTTCGTTCATCGGTCAGTTGAAAGAAAACGCGATCGATCAAACGTTACTGTAATGAAACGGAGCGGTGGGTGAAAAAAATCAGAATCAGTAGTTTACCTGCCGCGGCAGCGCCTCCTTCAGCCGCGCGCACATGTCGCGCCCGCGTCGCGCCGCCTTGTCTCGGTGCGTCAACGACGACAACGCGTCCACCGCCTCGCCGTTCACGAGGATGTCTAAGCGCACGATGTCCGACGGTTCGTATCCCGCGTCGTCGTAATCGAACGTCGCGTACCCGGACGTCCGGCTCTTGAGCTCGTCGGAGAAGTCCACCGCGATCTCCGCGCTCGGCAGCCGGTACCGCAACATGACTCTGTCGACGCCGAGCTGCGCGTGTTCCAACTGGCTTCCTCGGCGGTCGACGCACAGCTCGACAACCTTCCCGACCGCGTCCGCGGGGCATATGATCGTCGCGTCCACCATGGGCTCCTCGATCACTCCCTTCGCGCCGCCGCGGCCGCCGGACTGATGGAGTCGCTTCTCGTCGAGCGCGGCGGGCGACGCGACGTCTTCGAACGACGTCTCCGGGGTATCGGGGTACCGGACGCGGTAGGACACCGTCGGCGCGGTGGCGACGACGTCCGCGTCGAACTCTTCGCGCAGGCGCTGGTGGAACACGTCCGCGTGGAGGAGGCCGAGGAACCCGCATCGGAACCTGCGCGCGCGAGAGGGGTACGGTAGTATCATGTTAGCGTCGGGGTCGAGCGCGTCGAAGAAAGACAAACGTCCGTCTTCTCCGGATCCTATAATCTGATTCGTGGCGACTGTGTGAAAGGTACTATCAGAGCGCGACCACGGCCCGGAGGCGGTCGTTGTCAGCGAATCTTTCACGAACGTTTTCATGTGCGCCCTATTTGAAACTCCAAGGACATCGCGCGGTCCAATGGAGGGATTAACGAGGGCGACTGACTTTTCGAGCGAGCGAGCGAGCGGCGCGCGAGGCGGCGGATGAGAAAAAAAAAAAAAAAAAAAACGCGGCGAGCGAACAACCAACCGCGCGCCTCGTACCCTGGACCCAGCGCGACGGACGTCTCGTTCGAGACGCTCACGCTCGCGTCGTTCAACACGAGCCGCTCGACCGCGGCTCGCAAGGCCTCGAACTCGTCGCCGCTCTGCGGGAACAACCCTTGGAACACCGTCGGCTTCGCCGCGCGGAATCCAGGAAGCGGGGCTATTTTTTTACCCAAACCGCCCCCGCCCTTCGCGGGCGACTCGTCCGAGGGTTTATACAGCGTGTCCCCCACGATCGCGGACTTGACGTCCCTGGAGCCGGTGATGACGTACCCCACGTGCCCGGCTCTGAGTTCCGGCATCTTCAGAGGCTCCGGCGTCATCATGCCTGATGAGTTGGAAGACCGGGGAGGAGACGGGAGGAGGTTGGACGCGAAACGAAACGACGACGCACAGCTGTGCGCGCGCGCGCAAACGCAAACGCAAACGCGAACGCGTTGACCACAAAACGCACCGAGCTCGAGGACTTCGCTGCCTCTCCCCCCCTGTGCCATCCCCGCGACGCTGTCCCCCATGCGTATCGTCCCGTCCTCGATCTGCACGACGCTCACGGCGCCGCGGTACGGATCGTAGTGACAGTCCAACAGCAGCGCGCGCAGCGGCGCGTCCGACCTGTCCGCGTCCGCGTCGGCCAATCGGGACGCGTCGTCGTTTCTCTCCGCCAATCCCGCGCCGCCGCGTGGCGGCGGCACCGCGTCGACGACCGCGCTCAGGACGTCCGCGCACCCCATCCCGGTCTTCGCGCTGATCGGCAGGACGTCGTCGGGGTCGATCCCGAACGCGCTCAGCATCTGTTCCTTGACGCCGTCCACGTCCGCGTTGTCCATGTCCACCTTCGGGTCGTTCCATCGCGCGAAACGACGTCGGGGTGGAGTTCAAAGGCGTCAGAAGCGGACTTGAAAGGCGTCGAGGACGGGCGTTGAAAGCGAGGGACCCTGGGCGGAGAGTGACGACCGCCGGGAGAGAAAGTCCTTAAGGAATGAAGTTCACAACGCGAACGGAGTCGTACGGGGACCAGTGCGAGGCACACGACGCGCCTTATTCGCCGCCGGAACGATCTCCAACCCCGCCTCGAGCGCGAGGTAAAACGTCGCGATCGTCTGCGCTTGCACCCCCTGCGTCGCGTCCACGAGCAGAAGCGCGCCGTCGCACGCGGCGAGCGACCGCGAAACCTCGAAGCTGAAATCCGCGTGCCCCGGGGTGTCCACGAGGTTCAACAGAAACGTCTGCCCGAACGATTCGCTCTCCTCTCGCTCGTCGCGATGAAGCAACGACACCCCCTGCGCCTTGACCGTGATCCCGCGCGCGCGCTCCACGGGGAGCCGATCGAGGTACTGCTTCCTCCCCCCCGCGGGGATCGCGCGCGTCATCTCGAGGAATCGATCCGCGAGCGTCGACTTGCCGTGGTCGTTCCATACGAAGCGATGGCGGGGTGGTGTTCAAAGGCGTCAGTCGGAGTTGAAAGGCGTCGAGGGCGCGGATTGAAAGCGAGGGGTGGGCGGAGAGAGACGACGGCAAAAGTCCTTAAGGATCGGCGTTCACCACGCGAACGCGGTCGTATGGGAACCAGTGTGAAGAAGAACGCACCTTGCCGTGGTCGACGTGCGCGATGATTGAGAAATTGCGGATCCGATGCGACGGCACGGCGAGGTACTCCGAGGGGTCCTTCTGCGCGGCGAGGATCTCGCGCTCGGTCAGCGTCGTGGTCGCGCGCGGCTGCGCGTCGCGCCGCGCGCCCTTCGCGGTCGTCGCGCCGCGCTCTTCCGGGATGGGCTCCGCGCGCGAGGACGCCGTGCCGTGGATCGCGCGGTCTCGAAGCATCATTCGCATCGTCGTCGTCGTCGTCGGAGCGCGAGCGCGCGACGACGGCGACGCCGACGCGCCGCGCGCGATGTCCCGGAGCGCGCGCGCGAGGCGTCGCGACGTCATCTCGGCGGATACCCTGGTCGCGGAGACGCCGCCGCCGTCTCCTTCCCCGCGTCGGACGCCGCCGCTCCGCGTCCGTCGCCTGTGAGGGAGGGACCCGGCGCGGCGGCGGGGGCGGGGGATCGTCTCACGCATCGCATCGATCGTCGCGGAATTTTCACGGCAGCCGCTGCGTGTCGAGCGAGCCGTCGCCGTCCACGTCGGCACTCCACCGTCGCGCGCGCCGCGCCGCGTCCGCGACATCTCTCGCGCCCGCCGTCGAGCGCGTCGTCCGCCCGCCCCGCCCCACCCCCCGGCGTCATGGCGTGCGTCGTCGCGTCGTCGCCGTCGCGCGTCGTCCGTCGCGCGTCGTCCGTCGTCGCGCGCGACGATCGCGGTCGTCGTCGTCGTCGCGGGATGACGGCACCTGCGATGCCTACATCGCGTTGCGGCCTCCGCGACGACGCGTCCGCCGACGCGCCGCACCCCAACAGCGCCGCCCTCCTCGCGCCGCGTCGCCGCTCCTTCGCCGCCGCGGTCGCCGCGCTCGCCGCGCTTCTTCCGCTGGCCCTCCCCGGACGCCACGCCGCCGCGCTCGCGGCGGGCGGCAACGACGCCGTCCTCGCCGCGCTCCGAAAAAAGGCGAACGACGATCTCATGGGCGAGGACGGCGCGGTCGTGACGCGCGTCAACGTCGCGCTCGATGAGCTCCGCCGCGCGCAGACGCTCGCGGCGGTCGGCGAGTACGCAGACGCGCGTTCGATGCTGCGGAAGGGCGCGCTGAGAGAGACGCGAGGCGACCTGGAGCGCGTCGCGACGTACCTCCGCGTGCAGCGCCCGACGTTCGCGCAGTTCGAAGGTGTGCTGCGATCGCGATCTCTCGCACCATCAGACTGGTCCCCATACGACCGCGTTCGCGTCGTGGACGTCGTTCCTTGAGGACTTCCTCTTCGCTCGCGTTTCCCTTTCAACGTCGTAACGTTTGACCGGTGAGACGCCTTTCGACTGACCCCGGTGCGCGCTTCACCCCGACGACCCCAGGCCTCGCGGTGACGGGCGGGTTGGACGCGTTCGACGACGCGATGCGCGCGCGGCAAACCGGCGTCGCCGCGGTGACGCAGGTAGTATCACACTGGTCCCCATACGACCGCGATCGCGGGGTGAACGCCGCTTCTTAAGGACTTTTCCTTTCCTCCCCCAGGCGACTCTCTCCGCCCGCGCGTCCCACGGTTTCGATCCCGTCGCGCCGCGACGCCTTTCGACTCCACCACCGATGACGCGCCTTTCAACCCGACTGAGAGCCTTTCAAACTTTCCTTTCGACCTCTCGCCAGCGCGACGTGGACTTGAACGCGAAGGCGGCGGTGAGCGCGCTGGAGGAGGTAGCGTACATCCTGGGGAAGGATAAGACGTACGAGGAGATGCGCGCGCGGTTGGAGGCGCCGGTGGTGAAGACGGAGGGGGGCGTGCTCGAGGAGCGGCGGGACTTCGACGCGGAGGAGGTGCAGATGGTGCGAGAGGCGAACCGATTTTAATTTTAAGACCTTGGTCTGCGTACTGAAACGAAACGAAACGAAAGAAACGATCGGAAGGTGTGCGTTTTTTTCTATTAGAACGTTCATCACTCCATCACTCCATCACTCCATCACTCCGACGCCGCCGCCGCCGCGTCGAGGTTGCACCCTTTGACGCACTTCAAGCCCGCGTCCTCCGCGTCCTCCGCGCGCGCCAAGACGACGTCGTCGAAGTTGATGTACGCGACAGCCTGACCGCCGCCCGTCGCGTCCGTGAACGCGTCCGGCGTCGCCGGCTTCACGTTCGCATCCCTCGCGTCTTTCGCGCTGACCCATCGGTATGGGCTCGCGAGCGGCGCGCCGCCGACGTTCGCGCCGACCGTCGCGGCTTTGAACGCGCCGAGCGCCGGAATCGGCGGCGTCGAGTTCGCGAGCTGGGTCGTTCCATACGAAGCGATGTCGGGGTTGAGTTGAAAGGCGTCAGATGGAGTTGAAAGGCGTCGATGGCGGGGATTGAAAGCGAGGGACCCTGGGCGGAGAGACGCGCCGGGAAGTAAAGTCCTTAAGGAACGGCGTTCACCACGCGAACGGGGTCGTATGGGAACCAGTGTGAGATGGGACGCACCTTTTTCGCGAGCGCGTAGAGCCGCTCGTCGTACACCATCGAACGCGGGTGCGTCGTCTTCGTCGTCTTAGTCGTAGATGATGACGTAACGCCCGCGTCGTCTCCGCCGTTATCTTCGTCCTCCTTCTTCACGTTGCTTCGCACGTACCGCAGCTTCTCGTGCGAGATGCCGACGCTCGCGCCCAGTCGCAACAAGAAAGAGTCGAACGCGTCCACGACGCCGACGACGTCGAACGCTTCCACCGTCTTCGCCGCGCGCGCGTAGTCCTCCCCGGTGACGAGGTAGTCGCACCCCGAGGTAGTAGCGGCGTCGTCTTCCGTGGTTGTGTTGTCCGACATCTTGTCCGACAAAAAATTCGTCTTCGCGTCGTCGTCGTCCGACGCGTTCGGATCCGCGCCCGCGGTGAACATCGGTTTCGCTCTCGCGCCGGTGGTCGCGTCCACGTTCCATCCCGGCTGACGCATCGACGCCGTGCACTTGTTCCCCAGGAGCTCGCGCGTCTGCATGTTCCACGCGTTCGGAAGCGACGTCCACTCCTCGAAGGATTCGCCCCACGCGCGCGGTCCTTCCAGATCCGGCCAGATCCGCTTCGTCCGCCCCGGGGCGTCTTTTTGATTCTGTCCTAAACCCTTCTGATGCTTCGCGACGTAATAGTCGTAAAACGACCTCGACTGGTCCCTCGGGTCGCGAAGCATCAGCGACGTCGTCACGTCGCACGTCTCGCCGTGCATCACCTTCAACCGCGTCACGTCCTTCATGATGACATCTTCGAAGTGCTCCGCGGCCCAGTTCGAGGGCCAGTTCCCTCTCACCTCGACGAGCGTCCGCGGCGGTCCGGCTCGCTGCGTGGGTGAAGCGATCGGTCAGTCGAACGTCTTACCGGTCAAACGTTGAAAGGGAAGCGCGGGTGAAGAGTGACGACGGGGAAAGTCCTTAAGGAACGGCGTGCACCACGCGAACGGGGTCGTATGGGAAGCAGTCTCACCTTTTTCGCCGCCCACGCGTCCGCGGCGGCTTCCCACCGCTTCAACAAACCATCCCACGCCGTCTGATTCATGCCGTACGGCAGCGGGTACTCCGCGTCCCCGAGCGTCGTGAGCTTGTCGAACACGAACCGTACCGTGGTGCCTCCGGTTTTGGACAGGTGGCGGTACACGTGGAACGCGCACCGCGGCGGGGGAGGCTCGGACGAGGCGAGGTCGGCGACGGATGATACCGTCGTCGTCGCGTCGGGCGCGGGCGCGGGCGCGGGCGCGGGCGCGGGCGCGGGCGCGTCGCCTCTTCCTCTTCCTACTCCTCCTCGCGCGGCGGCCGCGTCCGCGGCCGCGTCCGCGTCCATGTTCTCCTGGATCCACTTCGCGAGCGTGCCGCTGCCGTGACCGTACCCGCCCGGGAGCTGGCGGTAGTCCCTCGTCTGCGGCTGAGGCTCGGGTCCCCAACGCGACGGAAATTTCTTCGTCGCGTTTCGTTCGCCGCCGCCGCCGGGGGGAGGGGCGGCGGCGGAAGAAGAAGAAGAAGAACTGTTCTTCGGCGGAAGGAGGGAGACTGTTTGCCCATAGGAGTCTCCCTCGGGCAGCGTAATCACGTCCGAGACAATCTTCGTCTTCGTCGTCGTCTTCGTCGTCGTCGCGTCGGGCGCGGGCGCGGGCGCGGGCGCGCCAGACGCGGGCTGCTTGCCAGACGCGGGCGCGCCGGACGCGCCTTCGCTTCTGCCGCCGACGATATTCGTATCATTCATCGCGCCGGTCACCTCCGTCGTCGAGTATCCGCGTCCGCTCAGGGGCGCCTCGTCCGCGTCGAGCGCTTCCTCGATGATCGCGTCGTCCGAGCTCGATCGAGGCGGCGGAGGGGAGGGCGGCGCCGGCGGCCGAGACGACGACGACGACGACGACGACGACGACGACGACGACGACGACGACGCGACGGCGGCCGCGGTCGCGTCGTCGAGGGGCGGCGCGCGAGGCAGCGGCGACGACGACGACGACGGCAGCGCCGCCGCCGGCGGCGCCGCCTTCTCCGTCGTCGTCGCGTCGTCCTCTCGCGCGCGCGCCGCCATCGCGCCGCCGCCGCCGCCGCTCGCGGTCGTCGTCGTCGTCGCCGCGGTCTCGAACGGCTGGAAATTGACGACAGTCTTCTCGCGCGGCGGCGGCGGTCGCGTCGGCTCCATCGTATCCCGATCCCGATCTACCCGGGTCCTCCCCCCGACCTCCACCTCCACCGACAGCGGCTCTCTCCCGCCGCCGCCGCCGCCGCCGCCGCCGGACGCCTGCGCCTCTCTCGCGCGACGCGCCCTCGCCTCCGCGTCCTTCCTCTCCTGCTCCGCGTATCGCTTCCGCTGCTCCGCCTGCTTCTTGAGTCCGATCTTCTTCTGTCTCGCGTCGCCGTGCTCGGCCCAGTAATCCCACGTCGTGAGCGCGGGGCCCATGCCGGGGAGCTGATGATGAGGTGGCGGGACGCGATTGGTCAGCGCGCGATACGATTCGGTGACGTGGCATATCGTGCGGTGGACATCGACCAAGAGGGACGGAGAAACGCGACGAGTCTGCGTGCGCACCGGCGGCGGCCACGGGCGGTCTTTGTCCTCCAGCTTGCCCTTGGGCGGGATCGGCACGTACCTGTCGGGGTGGAGTTGAAAGGCGTCAGATGGAGTTGAAAGGCGTCGATGGCGGGTATTGAACGCAAGGGATGGGCGGAGAGACACGCCGGGCAAAGTCCTTAAGGATCGGCGTTCACCACGCCGACGGGGTCGTATGGGGACCAGTGTGTAGAACTATCGGCACGTACCCGTGCGGCGTGCCCGGGATCTTGTGCCACGCGTCCGGCGCGTTCGGGTCGCTGAAGTCGAGGATGCCCTGGTAGTACACGTGCCAGCCCGGGACGATCGTGCAGAGGAAGAAGACGGAGAGGACGAGCGCGATCAGCCGCCAGAGGACGCCGCAGAGCGTCCATCGCCGGAGGACGACGGCGCGGACGAAGGCGGCCGTCTTCGTCGAGAGCCGCGCGTCGCGGCGGGCCGCCGCGCGGGGGGGCGGCGACGACGCCATGACGGAAGGACGACGAACGACGGACGACGGACGCGCGGAGAGTGGCGCGGAAGCCGCGAACACGGGACGCGCCCGCGCGTGCGGCGACGCGAGATCTGACTCTGGTGCAATCCTCGCCTCGCCTCGACCAGAAAAACGACCGGCGGCTGGCGCGGCCCGCTTGAAAAGTTCCGCGCCGATGAAAGTCGTTCTTTCAATATTTTTTCGCGCTTTCAAGGCGGCCTATGAAGTTTTTCTGTTGACCCCGGGCAATGCAAAAGCTCGCCGGCGCTCCGTCACTCTCTCTTTGCGCGCTTCCCTCCGCCGCCGCCTTTCTCTTTCACCCATTCTCTATCCGCCTCCGCGTCCAGCGCCCGCCGCAGATCCTCGTACAGATCCGCCGCGTCCTCGAGCCCGCACGACAGCCGCAGAAGGTCGTCCGGGACGCCGCTGTCGGGTCCTTCCACCGTGTACCGGTGCTCCACGAGGCTCTCGACGCCGCCCAACGACGTCGCGGGGCACCACAGTCTGAGGCGCGAGACGACGCGCAGCGCGGCGTCCTTGCCGCCCTTGACGCGTATGGAGAGCATCCCGCCGTATAAATAATTGGCCTGTTCTATCAAAGACGCGATAACCTCGGTCTCGGTCTCGAGAGGGCGTCGGCTCTCGGTCTCAGGGTCGTTCTATACAAGCGAACGTCGGGGTGGAGTTGAAAGGCGTCAGGTGGAGTTGAAAGGCGCCGAGGGCGGGGATTGAAAGCGTGGTGTGAGCGGAGAGACACGCCGGCAAAAGTCCTTAAGGAACGGCGTTCACCACGCGAACGCGGTCGTATGGGAACCAGTGTATAGAACGCACCTCGGCTCTCGGCGGTGAAAACGTGAGCGGCGCGTCGCGAAGCCCCCCACCCCGCCGCCCCCCCCCGGGCGTCGCAACCTGTTGACGCAGCGCGTCGCAATCGCCGAAGAGCGGCGGGTACAGCGCTCTGAGCACGACCGGGTGCCGCTCCAGCCGCGTCGCGAGCCTGAGAGCCGTTCCGTACGAGCGAACGTCGGGGTGGAGTTGAAAGGCGTCAGTTGGAGTTGAAAGGCGTCGAGGGCGAGGATCGAAAGCGGGGGACCCTGGGCGGAGAGAGACGACGGCAAAAGTCCTTAAGGATCGGCGTTCACCACGCGAACGCCGTCGTATGGGGACCAGTGTATAGAACGCACCTGAGAGCCGTCGCGCACTGCCTCTCGACGCGCACGTGTAACGTCCGCAATCCGCGCAGGAGCAACCACGCGTCGAACGGCGAGCACACCGCGCCGCTCATCGTCCGCTGCCGTTTCATCTCGTCCCATACCTTGCTCTCTCGCGCGGCGACGACCGCGCCCGCGACGACGTCGCTGTGCCCGTTGAGATACTTCGTCGCGCTGTGCAACGTGAAATCCGCGCCGTACTCGATCGGACGGCACTGCGTGCGGCGGGGGCGTCATGTGATTGGTCAGCGCGCGTCGACGTGGCGCGACGCGATTGGGCCAAACGTGATGACGTGTCGTCGGGGATATACGCGATTGGGTCAAACGTGATGACGTGTCGTCGGGGAGATACTGTAGACGCGACGCACCACGACGGGCGTGAGCGCGGTGGCGTCGCAGACGAGCGCCGCGTCTTTCGCCCCAAACTTCCTCGTCGCCTCCGCCGCGCGTCGAATGTCCGTCAGCTCCCACGTCGGGTTCGCGGGCGTCTCCACCCACACGAGTTTGGTCTTCTTATCCTCGCCGATGACGCGCTCCAGGTCGCCCTCCGCGGTCTGAGGGCCATTTCATACAAAGCGAATGTCAGGGTGGAGTTCATAGGCGTCAGAAGCGGAGTTGAAAGGCGTCGAGGGTGGGGATTGAAAGCGTGGGACCCTGGGCGGAGAGACGCGCCGGGCAAAGTCCTTAAGGAACGGCGTCCACCACGCGGACGCGGTCGTATGGGGACCAGTGCATAGAACGCGCCTGATCGTACAGCGCGAATTCGATCCCGAACCGCTCGCAGTGCGCCTGGAAGAACGCGCGCACCGCGAAGTAGCATCGCCGCGGGCACACGAGTCGGTCGCCGCGCGCGCACGTCGCGTGCGCGACCGCGGAGACCGCGGCCATCCCGGACGCGAACAGCATCGCGTCGACGCCGCGGTCGAGCGCGGCGAGGACGCGCTCGCATCGCGCGTACGTGGGGTTATCAGGGCGCGAGTAGACCAACTGCGACGGAGGGTGATGGCGAGTAGGAGGACGCCATTCGCCATCCTTCTCCGCGAGGTCGTCGTCGCCGCCGCCGCCGCCGCGCACGTCGAGGACGCGCGGGGCGTACGTCTCCGCGTCGCGCGCGTACGTCGTCGACGGGAAGATGGGAGGGACGAGAGAGCCCGTGGCGTCGCCGAGGAGCGTCGACGCGGCGTGTGGGAGTCCGAGCGCGTCGCCGCCCGCCTGCGCGAGGATCGTGTCCACGGAGACGCCGCGCCACGGAGATAGCCGTGGCGGCGGCGAATAAGAAATCGGCGGCGAATAAGCCGAAGAGGGCGGCGAAGAGGGCGGCGACATGGCGGCGAGGCGACGCGCGCGCGAGCGCGACGCGACGCGCGGGGGCGGTGTGTCGGAGGACGGCTCCGAGACATCAGATCCTTTCGCGTTTATTGTTTCATCACTTCGGCCGATGACTTCTCGTCATTCCGACCAGCGCACAGCGGCATCGCGTCGCGCGGCGTCACGATGGCGCCTCCCCCCGATGGCGGCGGCGGCGACCGCGGCGCGAAGCCGAAGAAGCGCGTGGACGAGCACGGCGTCGTGCACGACGACCGCTTCTCCATGATACACAGCGACCCGCGCTTCATGCGATTCCCGGACGTCGCGAAGCAGGTGAAGATCGACAAGCGATTCTCAAAGATGTTCAGCGACCCGGCGTACGCCACGGGGATACACAACCGAGGCGGGATGGACAAGCGGGGGAGGCGGACGGAGAAGGCGAAGAAGTCCAAGGCGGGGGACGACCTGAAGGAGTATTATCGCATGGACGACGACGACGCGGCGGCGGCGGAGGAGGAGGAGGAGGACGGGAAGGTGATGAAGAAGAAGAAGAAAAAGTCGGCGGCGGCGGCGGCGGCGAAGGAGAAGACGAAGACGAAGCCGAAGCCGCGCGCCGAAGAGGAGGAGGAGGAGGAGGACGGCGATTCTGACGATTCTGACGACGACGAGGAGGAGGAGGATGAAGAAGACGTGGACGCGAAGCTCCAGGCGAGCCGCGACCGCTTGCGCGGCGTCGGCCTCGACGAGTCCGACGACTCCGATGACGACGACTCCGACGACGACGACGCCGACGACGACTCCGACGCGTCCGAGAGATCGAAATCGAAATCCGACTCTGAGGAAGAGGGCGTCATCCCGCGCATGCTCGCCGGCGTCGTCGCGCCCGCCGCGTCGGGCGAGGACGTCCCCACGATCGACGCGACGCGACGCATCGCGATCGTGGACCAGGAGTGGCAGCATCTCAGAGCGGTGGACCTCCTCGTGGTGCTCAGGCGCGTTCATCATTTCTCACACTGGTCCCCATACGACCGCGTCGGCGATGTGAACGCCGATCCTTAAGGACTTTCTCTCCCGGCGCATCTCTCCGCCCAGGGTCCCTCGCGTTCAATCCCGACACACCTCGACGCCTTTCAACTCCGCTTCTGACGCCTTTCAACTCCACCCCGATATCATCGCTCGTATGGACAATTACCCTCAGATCGTTCGCGCCGAAACGCGGCGGCGTCCGCGAGGTCACCGTCTACCCGAGCGACTTTGGGCTCGAACGGATGAAGATCGAGGCCGTGCACGGGCCGCTCGCGGCGTTCGGGATCGGCGAGGACGAGAGGAAGAGGGACGCGCGACGGAAAGAAGCCAAGGCGAAGGCGAAGAAGAAGCTCGCGGAGCGGAAGAGGCGGAGAGAGGAGAAGGCGACGGCGAAGAAAGCGAAGAAGATCGCGGCCGCGAAGAAGCGAAAGAAGAAGAAAAAGGGCGGCGGCGGCGATTCCGAATCCGAATCCGAATCCGAATCCGAATCCGAATCCGAATCCTCCTCGTCCGAGTCCGAGGACGATGACTCCGACGCGAGCGAGCCGGACGAGCGCGAAGAAGCCAACGCGACGAGAGAACGCATGCGTCTGTACGAACGCGATCGCATGCGGTACTATTACGCCATCGTCGAGTGCGACGACGCCGACGGTGAGACTGCTTCCCATACGACCCCGTTCGCGTGGTGCACGCCGTTCCTTAAGGACTTTTCCCGTCGTCACTCTTCACCCGCGCTTCCCTTTCAACGTTTGACCGGTAAGACGTTCGACTGACCGATCGCTTCACCCACGCAGTCGCGTCCGCGGTGTACTCGCAGTGCGACGGCCTCGAGTTCGAACGCAGCAGCTGCCGTCTCGACCTGCGGTACGTCCCGGACGATCAGAGCTTCGAGGGGAGGGAGGTTCGCGACGTCGCGACGGAGGTTCCGAGCGACTACGAGCCGCCCGACTTCCAGATGAAAGCGTTGCAGCACACGAACGTGAAACTGTCGTGGGACGACGACGATCCGACGCGGACCAAGGCGCTGCGAAGGAAACTCACGGAGGACCGACTGAAGGACGAGGACTTCGCGGCGTACATGGGCAGCGACAGCAGCGAGGAGGAGGAGGAGGAGGAGGAGGAGGAGGAGGAGGGTGCCGATGAGGGTGCCGAGGAGGATGGTGACGTGGCGGGTGATGACGTGGACAAATCCGCGGACGGGAAGAAGCTCGCGGCGAAGCAAAAGTACCTCGCGCTTCTCCTCGGCGGCGGCGGCGGCGGCGACGACGACGACGACGGCGACGGCGGCGGCGACGCGTCAGAGGACGAGGGGTTCAGGCGCGCGGCGTGGGGCGGCGCGAAGTCGATCGCGAGTAATAACGCCTCCAAGGCGGACCGTTACGGAAACAAAGGCGGCGCGAAGCCGGGGATGGGGGAAAAGGGCGACATGGAGGTGACCTTCCACGCCGGTTTGGAAGAGTTCGGCGCGCGCATGAAGAAAAAGCAGGAGCGGGGGGGTCTGAAGAAGACGGAGACGGTGTGGGAGAAGCAGGTCCGCGAGAGAGAAGAGAAGGCGGCCGCGAAGAAGCTCGCGAAGAAGCTCGCGAAGAAGGGCTCGAAAGACGACGACGACGACGACGCCGACGCCGACGACGCTGACGCCGGCGGCGGGTTCGACGACCCCTTCTTCCTCGAAGGCGGCGACGGCGACGGCGTGGACTGGGACGCCGGCGGCGACAGCGACGACGAGATCGGCGAGAAGAAAGGCGACGCGATCAAGAAGAATAACCTTAAGAAGAAAGGCGGACGCGCCGACGACGCCGCCGACGCCGACGACGACGAAGACGCGTTCGCGCTGAAGAAGGATGCCGGGAAAAAAGCGAAGAAGAAGGCGTCGAGGCTCGCCGAGGAGGACCCGCAGAGCGCGAAAGAACGCGCGGACTTGGAGCTGCTCATGATGGACGACGACCTCGTCGCGGGCGGCGCGAAGGGTATATATTCTAACGCGCCCGCGTCGGCCGTTACGAATGGTACCGTTGATGACGACGCCGCGCCGAGGCGGAAACTCACGCGGAAGGAGCGTCTGGCGGCGAAGAAGAAGACGTCCGGGAAAGCGGCGCGGCGGGCGGAGAGCGACGACGAGGACGCGGAAGATGGAAGGTCAACCGGCACGGGTGCCGCGCGGCAACGGCAACCGATTGACGTGGACGACGCGCGGTTCTCGAAGCTGTACGACTCGCACCTGTTCGCGCTGGATCCCACGGACCCGAGGTACAAGGACGTGTCCGCCGCGGACGTCATCGCGAAAGAACGCGACGCGCGGCGGCGGCGAAAGGAGAAGGACGCGTCGTCGTCCTTGGGGAAAAAGAAAACGGTCATCAATCAAACGGCTGAAGAAGACGAAGCGACGAAGGAGAAGAAGCGGAAGAGCCGCGGCGACGCGGAGCTCAGCGCGATGGTCGCCGGGTTAAAGAGGAAGCAAGCGCGCGCGTCGTGATGACTGCTGTGCGGTAGTACGCGCGAACTGAATCGACCGTACAGTATTTTTCAATGTTTTCGTCGTTCGCTCAGGACGCCCGTGGGGGAGTTCTCCACGTCGTCGCCGACGTCGTCGAATCGCGCGGAAGACCCCGGTCCGTACGGTTTCTTCGTCTTCTTCGCGCTCTTGAGAACGTCTCCGAGCCCTTGTCCGTCGAACGCGTCGAGATGACCGCTCCTCGCCCCCGTCCCCCCTCGCCTGGCGCCGTACCTCTCGTCGATCGCCGCCGCGCTCAACCCTCCCCCTCCTCCTCCTCCCTGCCTCGCGCTGTACCGCGCCAACGACGCGCCGCGCGCCGTCTTCGCCGGGAGGACGTCCTATACAAGCGAAAGTCGGGGTGGAGTTGAAAGGCGTCAGTTGGAGTTGAAAGGCAACGCAGGCGGGCGTTGAAAGCGAGAGATGGGAGGAGAGACACGCCGGCGAAAGTCCTTAAGGATCGGCGTTCACCACGCCAACGCGGTCGTATGGGGACCAGTGTAAAGAACGCACCCCGAGCGACGCGCCGCCGAAGCCGTCGTGAAGGAGCGGCTCGCGAATCAGTCGTTCTCTCGCCGCCGCCTCGGCGCACGCCTCCGCGTCGTCGCGCGCTTTCCGCGCCTCCTCCAGCGCCTTCTGCGCCTTCAGGAGCGCCGCGCCGACGTCGTCGGATTCTGCGTCCTCCGCGGCGCGCGTCCCGTACGGATCGCGGTCGTCGCGCGACGGATCGGGCTCGGCCCAAGCGCGCTTATTCGCGTTCGCGATCTCGTCGCGCTCGCGCGCTCGGAGATCGGCGACGCGTCGTTCCACCTCCTCGAGGCGCGCCTCGAGCGCGAGGCGCTCGTCGTCGTCGTCGTCGTCGTCGTTGAACGGCGCGTACCCGGGGGGGTACGCGCGCGCGCGGAACGCGTCGTCGTCGAGGCGTTCTTCTTCGTCGTCGTCGCGTCGCCGCGTCGACGACGCCATCGGTTCGCTCCTCCGCGATGAGCAGAGGCGCTCGCGCGCGAGCGCCAGGCGGGCGGCGACGTCGCGCCTCGCCTCGCCGTGCGCGTCCTCGTGGCGGTAAGCGCGCGTCGTCGTCGTCGTCGTCGTCGCGGCGGGCATCGCGCTTCGCGGGACGGGCGCGCCCTCGGGAGTGATCTGATGAGCTGTCGCGGGTCGTCGACGCCCCCGCGCCGCGGCGCGGCGCTCTCGTACACCTGTCCGAGAAGACGTTCAAAACCGCGGCAACGGAAACGACGGGAGATGCCCCGTCATCATCCGTCCATCGGCTCGCGCCTCCAGCGCGGCAGTCCGACGGACGCGCCGCGGAGGAGGGATGGCGACGCTCTCCGCGAGCTGCCCCGGCGGCGCGCGGGCGGCCGCGCGCGTCGCGGCGCCGCGTCGTCGCGTCGCCCGCGTCGTCGCGACGCCATCGTCGGCGTCGACCGCGGGAAGGTTTCGCTTTCGTCGTCGCGACGACGGCGAACACGACGCTCCCGCGGGCGACGCGCGGCGGACGGCGCCGCGGCCTTCTCGCGGCGGCGTCGTCGTCGGCGGCGCGTCGTCGCCGCATCGCGCGACGCGGCGTCGTCGCGCGCGCGTCGCGACGCGCGCGACCGCGCCCGGCGATTCCGGCGGCGTCGACGACGCGGCGACCGCGGCGACCGCGGCGTCGTCGACGACCGAGAACCAAAACCAAAACCCATCGTCGCCGCCGTCGCACGTCGGGGCGGACCGCCGACGGACGAAATCGCCGTCGCTGCGCTTCTTTCCCCCGGACGTCGCTCGAGCGGTGCAGCAGTGCGGCGTCGGCGTCACCGTCGCGTTCGGCGGCCTCGTGTTCGCGGTGTCGTTCGCGACGCTCGTGTTCAGGCGCGTTCTGTTCTGTTGTTTACACCGGTCCCCATACGACCGCGTCGGCGCGGTGAACGCCGATCCTTAAGGACTTTGCCCAGCGTCTCTCTCCGTCCAGGGTCCCTCGCTTTCAATCCCGACACACCTCGACGCCTTTCAACTCCGCTTCTGACGCCTTTTAACTCCACCCCGACCACAGCGGCCCGGACGCCCCCGACGGCGCGCTCGCCGCGGGGACCGGATTCGTCCTCTACAGGCGCGTTTGTATATCTCGCACTGGTCCCCGTACGACCGCGTCGGCGCGGTGAACGCCGTTCCTTAAGGACTTTCTGTCCCAGCGTGTCTCTCCGCCCAGGGTCCCCCGGTTTCAATCCCCGCCCTCGGCGCCTTTCAACTCCACCTCTGACGCCTTTCAACTCCACCCCACGTTTCGCTTCGCGCGGACCCTCGTCCTCTACAGCGGCGTCGTCGGCGCCGCCGCGGTCGCGTTCCGATCCACGCTCCCCGCGATCGCGGAGGTGCAGGACGGCCCGTCCGCGATATTCGCCATCATGGCCGCGGCGATATACGCCACGGAGGGGATCGACGAAGACGCCAAGCTGCCGACGTTGGAGGCGGCCATCGTGTTGACGTCGCTCGCCACCGGGGTGGGACTCACGGTGCGTATGATTCGTCCACGTGGCGATGGATTGATTCTCTGTCGGCCACTCACAACACGCCACGTGGTGTTTTATCCAACACGTCATCATCTGGTCAACCAACCAACCACTCGTATCTCGCCACGTGTCCAACCAAACGAACGACAGGCGCTCGGAAACGCGAAGCTCGGGAACATCGTCCGACTGCTTCCGTCGCCCGTGACTGGCGGCTTCCTCGCGGGCACCGGCTGGGTCCTCTCGACCGGCGCTTTCAAAGTCCTCACCGGGTATACCTTCGAGCCCTCGAGTGCGATCGACGCGCTGCGATCGCCGGAGTTTTTCACCGTCTGTCTTCCGGGCATACTTCTGGGCGCAGCGCTCGCGGTTGGCAACCGAAAAATCGCGCAGTTCTGGGTCGTCCCCGGGTTTCTCCTCGGCGGCACGTTCCTCTACTTCAGCGGGCTGGAGGCGTTTTTGGGGATGAGCCCCGCGGACGCGATGGACGCGGGGTACCTTCTCGGCCCGTTCCCCGCCGGCTCGGACGCCGCCGCGAGCTCCGCGTTCACGCCGCTGCTGCTGTCGCCGTCGACGCTGTCGCGCGTGCGTTGGGACGTCGTGTTGGACCAAGGCGCGTTCTACGCGCGCGCACAGAAGTACACGTACACGTACTGTATTTCACCCACCGTTCGGTTTCAACGCTCGATCGCGTCTCCTTTCAACTGACCGATGAACATCGCAGGCCCGCGCGCGGCTACCGTCTTCGGTCTGTCGACGCTCGGTCTGCTCCTCATCACGTCCGCGATCGAGACGAGCACCGGGACGGAGGGCGACGCGAACGAGGAGCTGAAAGCCGTGGGCAGCGCGAACATTTTGGGCGGCTTAGGCGGAGGGCTCGTGATGTATCACTCGCTGTCGTCGACGCAAATCGCGACGGGTGCGTTCTGATTCATTCACACTGGTCCCCATACGATACCGTCGGCGTGGTGAACGCCGATCCTTAAGGACTTTTAATCCCGGCGGTCGTTTCTCTCCGCCTAGGGTCCCTCGGTTTCAATCCCCGACACACCTCGACGCCTTTCAACTCATCCAACTGCTGACGCCTCACAACCCTTTCAAAGGCATGGGGAGCGATTCGCGGCTTCCCGGGATCGTCGCGTCGCTGTGCTACGTCGCCGCGCTCGTCGTCGGTCCCGCGCCGCTCGCGTTCGTCCCGAGCGCGCTCATCGGAGGGTTGCTCATCTTCATCGGCTCGTCGTTCTTGTACGAGTGGCTCGTCGAGGGATTCGCGAGCTTGCCGCGGTCCGAGTACGCCGTCGTCGTCCTCATCGTCGTCACCGTCGCGTCGCAGGTGCGTTCAACGTGATTCACCCACCGCTCATCAGTTTCAACGTTTGATCGCGCTCGCGTCCCCTTTCAACTGCGTGATGACCGGTGAACTTTTTTCGTAACTACCTTCGTAACGCCTCTCAGGGATACCTCGCCGGCGTCGTCGCGGGCATCCTCGGCGCCGCCGCGGTGTTCGTGACCGACTACAGCAGAGTGCCGATCGTGAGGAGTCGACTGCGCGTCGGCGGCGAGGGCGGGATTCGGTCGAGTCAGGCGCGGACGCGCGCGGAGGTGAACGCGATCGTGGAGTCGGGAACGTTCGCGTACTGCGCCAAGTTGCAGGGGTTCCTCTTCTTCGCGACGTCGTACAAGCTCCTGGAGGAAATTCGCGCGCGGCACGACCGGCTCGTCGACGACGCCGGCCGCGGGTTGGAGTTCATCGTGCTAGACTTCCAGAGCGTCGTCGGCGTCGACGGCAGCGCGATATCGGCGTTTGAAAAACTTCGACGGTTCGCGAAGAACGAGGGGATCCAGGTCATCCTGAGCGACGTCGACCGACCGGAGCTGGCGCGCGTCGTGACGATCACGCTGTACGGCGAGAAGCTGCCCACGTTCGCGTTCATCGACCGCCCGATCAGTTTGATCGAGTCGAGAGCGCTGCTTCCGGGCGGGGGGAAGAACGCGCCGAGTCAGAGTCGGACGTACGACGTGATGGCGGCGCAAGATTTAGATTCGGACGTCGACGCCGCCGGCGCCGCGGACGCGGAGGACGAGTCCTCCGCCGCGGCCGCGGACGAGAGCGAGGACGGGCAGTACGGCGGCGGCGGCCTGGTCGTGCAGGTCTCCGAGCTCGACACCGCGCTGAAGTTCGTGGAGGACGTGATGATCGCGAGGGCGCGCGCGGCGGCGGCGACGGCGGCGGCGAACGCCGGGGAGGAGCAGACGTCGGGCGGGAAGGCGCGTTCTATCTCACACTGGTTCCCATACGACCCCGTTGGCGTGGTGAACGCCGATCCTTAAGGACTTTTCCCGGCGCATCTCTCCGCCCACCCCTCGCTTTCGATCACCGCCCTCGACGCCTTTCAACTCCGCTTCTGACGCCTATGAACTCCAGAACGCGGTCGTGAGCGGCGGCGGCGGCAGCGTCTTCAACTCGTGGGACGAGAGCGACGACGACGACGCGGGCGTGGTCGCGGAGGAGGAGGACGCGGAGGACGTGTTAAACGACGCGATCGCGGACGGCTGGAACTTCGATCTGATGGTCGCGAGCTTGAAGCTCGACGCCGACGACGAGAAGGTTTTCCGCGCCGCGTGGCGGCCGGTGGCGTTCACCGAGGGGGAAGTCGTCTGCGAGCGCGGCGAGGTCGCGGACCGCGTGTACTTCATCGAAGACGCGGTCGTGAAGGTGGACATGGTCAGGGGAAAGTACAGCGAGCTCACGAGCACGATGGACCTGGACGACGGCGCCACGGAGTGGGGCGTCGGGGGAGTGAGGCGCGTTCTATCTCACACTGGTCCCCATACGACCCCGTTCGCGTGGTGAACGCCGATCCTTAAGGACTTTTGCCGTCGTCTCTCTTCGCCCACCCCTCGCTTTCAATCCCCGTCCTCGACGCCTTTCAACTCCACCTGACGCCTTTCAACTCCACCCCGACGTTCGCTTGTATAGAACGGCCCTGAACGGGAACGGAGGGAACGGAGAACAAGAAGCGTCCGACGGCGAAGAAACGTCATCAGACGGCGAGACGGTGACCTTCGCGTTCGGCGACGACGGCGAGTCGTACGATAAGGCTGTCGTCGACATCGACGCGATTGATATCGTCAGAGCGCCCGCCGCGCCCGGGAAGAGCGCCGCGAAGGTTGTCGCGAAGTCGGCGGCGACGGCGGCGGCGACCGCGGGAGTCTCCGCCGCCGTCGCCGCCGCCGCCGCCACCGTCGCCGCCGGCGCCGGCGCGGGCGCCGGCGCGCCGATCGACCCGGCGACCGCGTCCGCGGTCGCGTCCGGCGTCGGCGCGTCGCTCGAAGCCGCGGAGGCGGTCAAGGTTGCCATCGAGACGGGCGCCGGGATCGGCGGTGAGACTGCTCCCCGTACGACCCCGTTCGCGTGGTGCACGCCGTTCCTTAAGGACGTTTCCCGTCGTCACTCTTCACCCGCGCTTCCCTTTCAACGTTTGACCGGTAAGACGTTCGACTGACCGATCGCTTCACCCACGCAGGCGCCATCGGAGGGATTCGAGAGGCGCTCTCGCAGCAAAAGAGCGGCGGCGACGGCGACGGCGACGGCGACGACGCGACCGACGAGTACACCGCGCTGATGAACGGCCCCGGCGGCGGCGGCGCGGTGGGAGGAGGAGGAGGAGGCGACGGCGACGTCGACGCGGCGTCGCAGCTCGCGGCCGCCGGGGAGATCGACGACGGCGGGTCGTTCAGGCGCGTTCGAGTCGCACTGGTCCCCATACGACCGCGTCGGCGTGGTGAACGCCGATCCTTAAGGACTTTGCCCGGCGTGTCTCTCCGCCCACTCCACGCGTTCAATCCCCACCCTCGACGCCTTTCAACTCCAACTGACGCCTTTCAACTCCACCCCGACATCGCTTCGTATGGAACGGCCCTCAGCATGAGCATCACGCAGGACTTCATGGGCGCCGTCGGGTTTTACCGCCGCGGCGGCGTCGGCGCGGTGCGATTCGGACGCATCGTCGTCGAGCGCTCCGGCGGCGGGTACGTGCTGAGGGAGGAGGACGTGCAGGCGTTGGAGACGAGCCACCCGCTGATCGCGATGAAGATGCACCGGATGATGGCCGGCAACCTCGCGAATCAGGTGCGTTCTATACAAAAGTTTTTCACCCATCGCCCGGTTTTAACATTTGATCGCGTCTTTTTTCAACTGACCGATGAACTATTTTTGTATGGAATGGCCCTCAGGTGATATCGCGGAACAAGCTCATCACGCAGTACGTGCGGTGACGAGGAGGAGGCACGCGGTAGTACACGTGTACGGCGGCGTTGACTCGACTCTAGTAGTCTAGCTAGTTCTTTTCAACGCCTCGCAAACTACACGTAAGTTGTTAGTAGTACGTGTACTGTAGTCTACGGAAGACTCTAAACTTCTATCTTATATCCGCCGCGCGCGTCGCCTCTGAAAAAAATAGTGTATCGTCACACGAAGATCATCGCGCGCAGGACGCGCGTCCACAAGTCCGACCATATCGGATCCAAGAAGAGCTCCGCGAACCACCCGACCCACGCCGCGAGACGCGCCGCGCGAAGGTCTCGCACGTCCTCCGCGCGCAGCACGTCCGACGCGGCGACCGCCGCGGCGACGATCCCGATGACGTAGTTCCTCGCGACGACGCGTCTCTGGGCCGTTCTATACAAGCGAACGTCGGGGTGGAGTTCATAGGCGTCAGTTGGCGTTGAAAGGCGTCGAGGACGGGGATTGAAAGCGGGGGGTGGGCGGAGAGATGCACCGGGCAAAGTCCTTAAGGATCGGCGTCCACCTCGCGAACGGGGTCGTATGGGGACCAGTGTATAGAACGCACCTCTCCCTCTCCGCGCGCGTCGTCGCCCGCGGCTGCCACCGCGACCGCGCCAGCCTCCACCGCCGCGCGCGCGTCGCCGCCGCGCTCGCGCGCTCGGCGACGCGCCGCGTCCACGCTCGCGTCCACGCGCCGCCGCCGTCGCCGGTACCTAGCGCGACCGCGCGCGGCGTCGGCGATTTCAAAATGTATCGCTCCGGGCGCCCGTCGACGTCGTCGCGCGTCCAGACGTACCCTCGCTCGTACAGCTCGCACGCGCTCCCACGCGGGGGGAACACGCCCGCGGCTTTGTACAACGCGCGAGGCGGATGCGCGTCGAACGTCTCGAGCGCGTCGCGGAGGACGCCGTCGAGCTCGCACAGCGCCCTGCGTCGGCTGCGGAGGTTCTTCTCGCTCACCAGCCGCGTCCTCGACAGCGCCGCGTGCAGCTCGCCGACGTCGCCCCCCCCGAGTCGTCGCGCAGCTGCGCGTCGTCGTAGCGCAGCCGCGCGTCCAAAAGCAAAAGTACGCCCGCGCGTCGTCGTCGTCGTCGACGTCCACGCCGCGAGTATCTCCTCCTCGCGACTCGCCAGCGCGACCGCGCCGGCGTACAGCGGCAGCAGCGGGTGCGACGCGAGGAAGCAGTCCACGAGCCGCGACGCGAGCTCGAGGTTGACGACGTCGCGTCTCTCGCGCTCTTCGCGACGATGATTCGAATTCGACGCCGCGAAGCCGTGGATGTGCCACGTCAGCATCCACGTCAGCGCGAACGTCGTCCCCACACCGCTCGTCGCGATGACGTCACTCAAACGGCGTCTCCCCATTCGTCGAAGGAGGCACGGCAGCAGCGACAGCGCGTCGGCGACGGGCGCGAACGACGACCGCGTCGCGTCTCGAAGGTGAAACAGCGTCACGCGCTCCAGCGCCGCGGACGCGATCGAGACGTCCCTGAGGGGAGTCAGTTGAAAGGCGCGTCAGGGGTGGAGTTGAAAGGCGTCATAGGGTCGGGGTTTGAAACCGAGAGACGCCGGGAAGTGAATGAAGTCCTTAAGGAATCGCGTCCACCTCGCCGACGCGGTCGTATGGGGACCGGTGTGGTGTGATGATCGATGACGCGACGGGACGCGCCTCAGCACCAGCAGCAGCACGCCCGCGACGTCGTGGAGCCCTTGATAGTACCGCGCGTGGTGCGGCGCGCTCTCCCAATCGTGCGCGCCCACCGCGCCGCGGAGCACCTCCGCGAGCCGCGCGCGCTTCCCCTCGCGCGTCACGTCGTCCCAGTGCGACGTGAACGCCCACAGCGAGCGCGCGACGTCGTTTCGGATCACGACCGCGTCCGGATGCGCGGCGTCCGCGCGCTCGGCCGCGCGCTCGAACGCCTTCGCGTCGACGACGGACGCGGGCGTGATGCCGCAGAGGAGCGGCCACGCGCGGCGGCGCGTCGCGGAGGAGACGAGCCCGCGCGCGCGCGCGAACGACGCGAGCGACGACACCTCGGACGCGATGGAGGATCTGGAGGAGGAGGAGGAGGAGTTGGAGGGGACGCACGCGGCGTCGGCGCCGTCGAGGATGTAGGACACGAACGCGCGCGTCTCCTCGCGACGACGGCGGAAGTCGTCCGGGTCGTCGTAGTCGTCGCGCGGCGGCGGCGGCGACGGCGGCGGCGCGGCCATCGCGGCCGTGCGGCCGCGCGCGGAGACGTGCGGAGGCCGCCAGAGGAACGACGCGACGCGACTACGAACGACGAGCTTCAAAATAATCTGATGCTGTCCTCGATCGTGACGAGGACGTCTGACGCCGACGCCAGACGGCGCCGCGCGCGCGTCATGGCGGAGGACGACTGGAGCTTCCTCGACGAGGAGGTCGAGCGCTTGGAGAAGAAGTCCAAGGGCGGCGGCGGCGGGAGAAGAGCGAGCGGCGGAGGAGGAGGAGGACGCCGAGGAGGAGGAGGAGGCCGCGCGGAGACGAATGCCGCGGACTCGTCCGCGCCCGCGACGACGACGACGAGCGACCCGCTGGACGAGTGGAGCGCCCTCGACGAGGAGCTCGAGAAGCTGACGAAGAAGGGAGGACGCGAGCGCGGCGGCGGCGGCGGCGGCGCGCGCGACGCGCCCCCGCCGCCGCCGCAGCGACCGGCGCCGTCGATGCCGCCACCGCCACCGCAGATCGCGACGACGACGACGACGACGACGACGACGACGCGCCCGCCGCCCTCGACGCCCCACCGCGCGCCGCCGCCCGCGCGCGACGCGATCGTCGCGGACGCGCTCGCGCTCGACACCCCGTGCTCGCGCCGGGAGAAGCTCGCGTCGAGAGCCGCGCGGTTCGCGGACGACGCTCCGCCGGCGCCGGCGCCGAGACCGCGTCGTCGCGACCTGGACGACGACGACGACGACGACCGCGGCGGCGGCGCCCCGCGCCATATCGTGGGCGCGTGCGAGGACATGTGCCCGGTCGCGGAGCGCGAGCGCCGCGCGAACGCCGCGGAGCTCGACGTCCTCGAACGCGTCTGGGACGCGACGCAGTCGCGCGGCGACCGCAAAAAGACGAGCGCGCAGCTGGCGGTGAAGAAATACACGCGCATCGTGGACGACCCGTCGCCCGCGGACGTCCGCACGAGAGCCGCGCTGACGCGGACGTGCGAGCATCTGTACTCGCTGCTGGGTGGCAGGGCGAGGTATGGCGACGAATGTATTCCGAAGAGCCGATGGGCGTCGACGCGCCCGGAAGATTTGCCGCTGCTGGCGCGAAGCGATTTTCTGTGGGACAGACTCCGCGGGGTGAGACAGGACATGTCGCTGCAGGGGTTCAACAGGCGCGTTCGAGTGTCTTCACACTGGTTCCCATACGACCCCGTTCGCGTTGTGAACGCCGTTTCTGAAGGACTTTCTCTCGCGGCGTACACATGTTTCTCTCCGCCCACCACCCCTCGCTTTCAATCCCGACGCGCCTCGACGCCTTTCGACTCCTCCGCGTCTGACGCCGCCTTTCGACTCCGCCCCGACGTTCGTCGCTTCGTACGACGGACCCTCGACCCTCAGGGACGCGTGGGCCGCGACGCGTCTGGAGGAGATGGCGCGGTGCGCGATCGCGCTGGAGTATCTGCTGTGCGAACACCGCGCGACGCTCGCGGCGCCGGACGGGCACGACTCGCACCTTCACGTGGAACAGCTGGGTAAGACGCTCGGGACGCTGCGCGGCGTCTACGCGGAGATCCGATCCGCGTCCGACGCCGACGCCGACGCTGAGGTGGCGTCTTCTGATTCGTCGTCAGATCTGCTGACGGATCGCGAGGCGGAGCACGCGGCGTATCAGATCCTCCTCAAGCTCGACGACCACGGGCCGTTCAAGAGGGCGAGCGGCGTGGCGTTTCTGCGCGACGCGCGCGCGACGCCGCCGGAGGTGTTGACGCATCCGAAGGTGCAGGCGCGTTCTAGCATCACACTGGTTCCCATACGACCGCGTTCGCGTGGTGAACGCCGATCCTTAAGGACTTTATCTCCCGGCGTTTCTCTCCGCCCATCGCCCCTCGCTTTCAATCCCGACACACCTCGTCGCCTATCAACTCCGCTTCTGACGCCTTTGAACTCCACCCCGACATTCATTCGCTCGTATGGACCCTCGACCCCGCAGTTCGCGTTGAGGATAAAGATCGCGTACGAAGCGGGCAACGTCGTCGAATTTTTCCGCCTGACGCGTTCGAAGCGGTGCACGTACTTGCAGGCGTGCTGCACGTTCAAATACTTCGAGAAGATCCGCGTCCGCGCGCTGGAGGCGCTCGTGAGCTCGAGCGCGAAGGGCGCGACGATGAAGGCGGCGACGCTCGCGAGGGACGTGTTGCGATTCACCGCGAACGGCGACGGCGGCGGCGGCGGCGGCGGCGGCGACGACGACGACGACGACGCGTCCGCGTCCGCGGCGGCGATAGACCTCGCGCGGCGGTGCGGTCTCGAGGTCTCGGAGGACGGCGTCGTGCGCCTGAAGCCGGACGCGAGCGGCGGCGCGCTCGCCGCCGGAGAGGAGAAGCGCGCGTTCGCGTTCCGCGCGCCGACGACGACGGACGACGGCGGCCGAGTCAGGCGCGTTCCATCTCACACTGGTCCCCATACGACCGCGTCGGCGTGGTGAACGCCGATCCTTAAGGACTTTCTCTCCCGGCGGTCATTTCTCTCCGCCCGCCCCTCGATTTCAATCCCGACACATCTCGGCGCCTTTCAACTCCGCTTCTGACGCCTTTGAACTCCACCCCGACGTCGCTTTGAACGATGGACCCTCGACCCTCATCATCAGACAAAAAATCGTGGACGCGAAGGCTCCCGAGACTAAGAGCGGGATGTTCCGATGGCGCGGGCTCATCACCGGCGCGGTGGGGTGCTGATCCGACGCACCAGAGAGCGAGCGCGCGACGCGTAGATAGCGTGATGTAGGTATCTTCATCGTCTTCAGACCGCGCGTGATGAGACTTACAGAAGTTCTCTCTCTCGTACGCGCGCGTCGTCGCGACGGACAGGATGAAAATACTGTACAACTGTCGATGTCGGACAAGAGGAGCTGAGAAAACAATCTGATAATTATTATTTCGGCCGGCCAGCCTTGGATCTGGCGCCGCCGCCTCGCCGCTCACAACGAGACCGCGCGCCGCGTCGCGAGGTCGCGCCCGTCGCCGACGCCGCGCGCGCGAGCGAAGACGCAGCGACGCGCGACGCGCGGCCGCGAGACCCCGACGCGCTCGGGCCTGGGGGTGCCAACAATTCGAGGTACACGTTCGACGGCGCCCGAGAAACGAGGGTGCCAAAACGATGTCGGAAGACGACGACGCGACGCGCGAGATCGCGCGGCTGACCCTGCGCGACGACGCGCCCGCGCCCGCGCCCGCGGCGGCGTGGCCCGGCGGCGCGCTCCCGCCCTGGGACGTCCGCCTCGACGAACCGTCGCACGTCTACACGATCCACGGGGACTGGGCGCACCGATTCCACGGCGTCAGGCGCGTTCTATCTCACACCGGTCCCCATACGACCCCGTCGGCGTGGTGAACGCCGATCCTTAAGGACTTTTGCAATCGTCTCTCTCCGCCCAGGGTCCCCCGCTTTCAACGCCCGTCCTCGACGCCTCACAACTCCATCGACTGACGCCTTTCAACTCCACCCCGACGTTCGCTCGTACGGACCCTCGACCCTCAGGAGACTCGAGAAGATCGCGCACGACGTCGTCCCGTCGCCGCGTCGCGTCGTCAGCGGCACGAGCCTCCTGAGGCCGTGCTTCGCGCCGTTCGACGCGGACGCGGTCATGGACGAGTACTACGAGGCGTGGCAGTCGCCGAAGAACAAGCGACACGCGGAGTACGGCGGGAAGTCGCGCGACGAGATCAAGGCGCGTTCTAGTATCGCACCGGTCCCCATACGACCGCGTCGGCGTTGTGAACTTCATTCCTTGAGGACTTTATCTCCCGGCGCGCGTTTCTCTCCGCCCACCCCTCGCTTTCAATCCCGACACACCTCGACACCTTTCAACTCCGCCACTGACGCCTTTCAACTCCACCCCGACGTCGCTTTGAACGATGGACCCTCGACCCTAAGGCGATGTGGACGGAGAACGGGAGGGCGAAAGCTGCGCTGGGGACGCGCATGCACGCGTTGTTCGAACGCTTTTACGTCACCGGGAAGTCGCCGCGGGAGACGACCGAGGAGGAGGCGGAGGACGACGAAAAACGCGCGGCGCTCGAGGAGGACGCGCGAACGTTCGAGAAGGAGTGGACGCAGTTCGAGCATTTCACGCGGGAGAGATGCGCGCGAGAGGACGTCTTGTTCGCGGAGATGCGTCTCTTCTCGCCGAAGCATCGACTCGCCGGGACCGCGGATCTCGTCGCGCGCGGGTCGAAACCGAACGGCGTGATCGTGTACGACTTCAAGCGGTGCAAGGACAGCTGCGCGGAGGACGCGTTCGTGCTCGGGTGGCCGAAATTCGGTGAGAAAGAGTACGGATGCCATCGCATCCGCGGGAATAATCACGGGAAATACCGCGTCCAGTTGAACGTCTACGCGGAGCTTCTGCGCATGAACTACGGCGTCGACGTCGAGGCGATGTACATCGTGCGATGCCACGGCGAGCGCGTGAAGGGCGACGCCGCGGAGGTGATCGAGGTCGCGCGGTGCGACGACGTCGTGGCGATTCTGTTGGAGAAGCGCGAGCGCGAGTTGCGGGTGCGGCGGCTGTTCGCCGCGGCGGCGGCGGCGGCGCGGACGTGCGTGCACTTCGCGCGGCGGCGGCGGCGCGCGGGGGGGGACGACGCGGCGGCGTGACGGACGGATGGGGTACGCGTGGCGGGTGATGCGAGGGTGTCGCGCGCGCGTCGCGGGGTGTCGCGCGCGCGCTGGACGCGAGTTGACGCCAGTAGCGTGCAAGTGTTGTAAGTAAAGGCCACGTGTCCGAGAAAAAGTGCGCCGATCTAACCTTATCCTGTCTGCTGGCGCGCGAAAGGACGCGCGACCCTTGGTTACGTTTTCCGACAAGATTTCCGCCACGGCTCCACTCGTCCGCGCGCGGTGCTCGCGGACGGTCGCGGCCGCACTCGAGGCTCGCGACCGCGAGGATGTCGCTCCCAAATCTCCCAGCGCTGAGTTCAGTCGAAGATGCGAGCGTATTCATGGGTCGCTTCGGAGGCATCCGTTCTGTCGGCCCCACTATCAGCATGCGGATCTTCGAGAACCGGAACGTGGATTCTTGGGAAACGCTGGAGGGGAGGTTCAGTGCGCGCATAATCATGCAGCTGAGAGATCGCTACGTGATTCCCAACGTGAGTGCGGTCCAGGATGCGCCCGCGCTCGAGACTCCCGACCGCGAAGATGTCGCTCCCGGATCTCCCAGCGTTGAGAGCGAAATCGAGGCAGTCTCGAGCCCGGAGACGACCCCGGTGACGACCCCGTCACCGAGGTCGCTCGAGGAAGCGGACGTCACACCTGAATGGGAGTTCGACTGCCACGTCGACGGGACCGGGTGCCACGCGCTGGAAGGGGGCTGGACCAAACTATGGAAGGACTGTGTGAATGCGGCGCCGGCGGCGGCGGCGGCGAATGGGGGGGAACCTTCGCCGCTGCGCGATTGGAATGCAACTAATGTCAGGTACCCTTGCCCTGGGCAGGGATGCACAAAGAGACTGACGCTCGATAACGATAGTCACGGCGCGCACGTTCGGCTCAAGCGTCTAGTTATCGCCGACGGCAATCGGTGGGATCATGCATATGTCGTCATCCCCACCTGTTCGAAGTGTAACACATCATATAACGACCTCACGAGAGAGTGCATAGCGGTGAAAGTGGCCGACTTAGATGAGAAAGTCTACGTCGGGAGCATTACTCAAGATGGGCACACCGTCCATAAGTTGGAAAATGTGGAACCCGTTGTGGAGTTCCCCGCAGAAGACGTCGAAGGTTCCGTCGGGCTTAAACACCTTGACGATGAACAACTGAAGGTGCTGAAGGAATATTTGATTGTTTGGATGGAAAATAGAGTTCCAAGACTCGACACCGACCACCCCGACGCGATATCGCTTTTTTCGGAGGTGCGAATCCTCTTCTCCCGCCTCATGGTCAGTCGGAAGAAGGGCGAGTCCGAGTCCGATATCTTGAAATTGCTAAAGCCGCAGAAGAAAGATCTTCTTAACCATGAAGCATTCGGCAGACATTCGGACCTTTCTGAAGACTTGGTGCGACATCTGGACAAGAAATTAATGGAGCAATGCCGCGAGAAGCGGGGCGCGTTCAAGTTGTTCGGCGATACGCCAGGTAGATACACGCGTTCGGGGGCGAGCAGATCTGAGCGTGTGACATTGAACTTCGACAACGACGCTACGGACGGCTTCATCAGGAAACTCGTGACGCCCCCAAATACGTCCATGTCACCGAATGAGTTGGAGGAATGGAAGAATAGGTCCAAGCAACCGGGGGAGTGGAAGGGAAGAAATAATATCGTCCTCAAGGTCCGTGGCACGGAACAGTTCCCCGAGACCACGGCGAGCGACGTCGTCGAGCATCTGAAGGAGATATTGAAAGAGGTGGTCCACAGGCGAGAAGCGTTGGAGAAGGTCAAGGAATATTGCGAGAGAGAACTTAACGTTTAGGTAGCGTATCATTATCGTGAGACTAAACGAACGACTAACTCAGTTCGCGTTGACGTACTCGAACCGCGGCTCCGCCGCCGCCGCCGCGTCGTCGTCGCCGCCGCGTCCACCCGTGCGCTCCGGCCGCCACCGCGCCCCCTTGACCGTCGCCCTCGCCGGCGCGGGCCGCGTAGTCCCGGCGCGCGACGCCCACCCACCGCCGTCGCCGTCCCCGCCCGCGCCCGCGCCGCCCGCCGCCGCCGCCGCGGTCCTCCGTTGCAACCGATCGTTCACGACGCACAACGAGTTGTACGGATCGTCCATCACCCCCTCGTCCACGGTGACGCCGTCCAGGTACTGCTTCAGGAGCGTCCGCAGGTCGTCGTTCTCCTGCTCCAGCCGCGCGCGCTCCTTCGCGACCGCGCGCTCGTCCAGGTACACCTTGTTGTACCTCCGGAAGAACGCGTCGAGGTACTCGTACCGATGCACGGGCTCGTCCGGGCGTTCGCGCGTCGAGCCCCACGACGACAGCGACCCGGGGCCGTGGTGAAACGTCCCCTCGACGACGTCCCCCGCCGCGGGCTCGTCGTCGAGCAACGCGGCGAGCGTCGTGGACGCCTCCGCCTCCGCCTGCGCTTCCGCCGCCGCCGTCGCCGCCGGCGGCGTCGCGTCGGTTGACGTTCCATCTTCTCCTTCTCCTCCCTTCGCCTCGCGCGCGTCGTCGCGCGCGCCGATGAACGCGTCGCGTTTCTTCTTCGCGTTCGCCGTCGCCGCCGCGATCGCGCGCTCGCCGTCCGTCGCGCGCGGGTCGCTCAGGATCCGCGTTATCTCGGCGTCGCTCATCAGCCCGGACGCGCGCGCGAACGGCGCCACCTTCTCGTTTTCCGTCTCCATCTTCCGCGACAGCTCCGCGAGCTTCAGGAGTTTCTCACCCTTGGCGAGCTTCTCGTCCAACGCCTTGGACGCCTTGTCGCTGTTCATGATGAGCGCCTGAAGCTTCTTGTGCTCCTTATCCCGCAGCCTCTTCATCGCGCGGTTCAGGTCCTGGTAGTGCTTCGACATGATGTCCTTCTCGTGCCGCAGCGCTTTGTTCCTCGCCTCCCACTCCTCCGCGTTAGCTTTGATCTTCGTCCGCCACTTGGCGACGGCGTCTTGCAGGCGAATCAACTTCCGCATGCGTTTCTCGATCGTCCTCGCGCTGATGGCGTCCTGCCGCGTCAGCAGCTTGAACGAGCTCGTCCTCGAGTCCGTGGACGAGAGGTACTCGCGGTGCGCCGCCTCGAACGTCCGCTCGAGCGCCTCGATCGTCCCCTCGAGCGCGGTTCTCAGCGCGTTGTACTCCTCGGCGTTTGAGTTTTTCAGCTCTTCCCGTCGGCTCTCAAACTCCGTCAGACACTCGTGCTTGTGCGCCTCGTGCGACGCGTCCATCGCGAGCATGAGGTCCATCATCTCGCGCCTCTGCCGCGCGTGCGCGCCGACGATCTCCGCGCGCTCCGCGTCGAATTCCTCCGTGAGCGCTCTGAGGGTCGTTCCATACAAGCGAACGTCGGGGTGGAGTTCAAAGGCGTGAGAAGCTGAGTTGAAAGGCGTCGAGGGCGGGGATCGAAAGCGAGGGACCCTGGGCGGAGAGAAGCGCCGGCGAATGTTCTTAAGAAACGGCGTTCACCACGCGAACGCGATCGTATGGGAACCAGTGTACAGAACGCGCCTGAGGTTACGCGCGAATTCATCCTCCAGCGATTTCACGCGGTCGTGCTGCAACCCGATGAACGCGTCGACCGCTTGCACGTGCGCGCGCGTCGCCGTCGCGCGCTGCGCCTCCGCCTCCTCGAGCTCGCGGTCCAGGTCCGCGATCGCGGCGTCCTTGCCGTCGATCACGCGCTCGTGCTGCTGCCTGAGGGTCGAGGGTCCATACGAAGCGATGATATCGGGGTGGAGTTGAAAGGCGTCAGAAGCGGAGTTGAAAGGCGTCGAGGTGTGTCGGGATTGAAACCGAGGGACCCTGGGCGGAGAGAGACGAACGCCGGGAGAGAAAGTCCTTAAGGAACGGCGTTCACCACGCGAACGGGGTCGTATGGGGACCAGTGTACAGAACGCGCCTGAGGATCTCGATCTCGTCGCGCAGCTCCTTGACCTTGGCGTCTCGCATGATCTGTCGCCAGTGCGTGTGAATGCGGAGGGCGTTGACGCGGTGATGTCGCGCCTCGTCCATCATGCGCTGGCGCGTCCGCGCGCGCTGCTCCTCGAGCTTCGCCTTTCGCGCTTCCTCCGCCTGCGGGACGGGATGGGGGATGGGGGATGGGCGATGGGCGATGGGATGGACGACGGGGGCGGGGGGGGCGGACGTGAGAAATTCGTTCGTGATGCGCTCGCATTCGTCGCGCGCGAGCCAAATCGAGGAGGGAGCGCTGACTCCCGCGCGTCGCGTCGTCGTCGCCGCGCACCTTGAGCGCCTGCGCTTCCGCCATCACGAGCTTCTCTTCCTCCGTGAGCTCGGGTTTCTCCTCCTTCGGCGGCATCGCGCCCGGGTGAGTTCCGTCGCTGCGCCGCCGCGACGGGGAGGGGGGGGGGGAACCGCGCGCGCGCCCGAATCTGACTGGCGCCTCGATTAGGGCGCCCCGAGACAGGAATTCCGCTCGACCGGCGGAACTGATGATAGACTGAAGCTGAAGTCGTCCGTCGAGCGCGGGGGGAATGGGAACGGACTGGAGTGAACCGCAGCGCCGCGCGCGTCTCCGCGCGCAGTCGACGCCGCGCCTCGGGTCGCGACGACGCGTGGCACCCGCGCGTCGCCGTCTGAGAGAGAGCGAGCGCGCGCGAGCGGCCGGCGTCATGAGCACCCCTCGCGGAGGCACCCCCAGCGGTGGGGGCTCCTCGTCGAACGATGCGAGGACCGACGACGACGACGACGACGACGACGACGCGCTCGCGGGGCTGCCGCCGGACCATCCGCTGCTGGAGCGCGCGCAGAGGGCGCTCAGGGCGCAGCTGCTGGACAGCAAGCGCGAGCTGGAGGAGAAGATCAAGGAGAAGGGGGACGAGCTCAACGTGCGTCGTCGTCGTCGTCGGGATCGACGGATCGCCCCGCCGTCGCATCGTGCACCATGCCGCTTTAGGCAGCGGCGTCAACGGCGACTTTTTCTTCGCGTCGCCCGCGTCGCGTCGCGTCGGGGGGAGTCCGGGCGTCCGTCCGTCGCGACCGACCCTCGCGTTCTTCGCGCGTCGTCCGCGCGCGTCGTCGTCGTCGTCCGTCGCGTCCCCGCGGCGGCGGCGGCGGCGACGACGACGCGCGCGCGCGTCGTTCGAGCTCGTCTCGCTCGAGAAATCGCCGCTCCGATGGATCCTTCGACCCCCGCGCGCGCTCGCATACCGAACGAATGAATACTAATTCTTTCCCTCTCCTCCCTCCCTCCCTCCCTCCCTCGTCGGCGTCGTCGACAGAAAGAGAAACGCCGCCGCGAGCAGATCGGCGTGGAGCTGTACACGACGCAGCAGCAGCTCGCGAAGCTCCAGACGAACCTCGACAAGACGCACGACGCGCACGCCGCGTTGGAGGCGACGCGAGAGCAATCGGAGGCGCGTTCATTTTTACACCGGTCCCCATACGACCGCGTCGGCGTGGTGGACGCCGTTTCTTAAGGACTTTTAATAACCCCGGCGTTTCTCTCCGCCCATCACCCCTCGCTTTCAATCCCGACGCACACGCCTCGACGCCTGCCTTTCAACTCCGCTTCTGACGCCTTTCAACTCCACCCCGACATTCGTCGCTTTGAACGACGGAACGACCCTCAGAGCGACTTGAGAGAACTCCAAGAGTGGTTCGAAACGCGCGTCGCCGACGGCGACGACGCGCGGAGAATGACCGACCAGCACCAGCTCGAGCTCGACTCGCTCAAGGCGACGCTGAGACAGGTGGAGCAGCACAACGAGAAGATGAAGAGCGACATCGCGGTGACGCGCCGCGCGACGTACGCCGCGGAGGAGACGGTTGCGCAGCTCGAGAAGGATAAGCAAGATCAGGCGCGTTCATCGTATTTACACTGGTTCCCATACGACCCCGTTCGCGTGGTGAACGCCGATCCTTAAGGACTTTCTCTCCCGGCGCATCTCTCCGCCCATGGTCCCTCGCTTTCAATCCCGACACACCTCGACGCCTTTCAACTCCGCTTCTGACGCCTTTGATGAACTCCACCCCGACGTCGCTTTGAACGATGGACCCTCGACCCTCAGGATTTGCTCATCGATAATTTGCAAGATACGCTCCGGAAGCTGCACGAGCGGTGCGCGACGCACGACGCGCAGCTGATCGCGCAGCGCAAGGAGACGACGCGCGCGAGGGAGACGCTGGAGGAGGCGGCGCAGGAGATGGACGCGATCAACTTTGAGAAGAAGCAGCTCGCCGCGCAGTGGAAGGCGAGTCTCGTCGGGGTGAGCAAACGCGACGACGCGTTGAAAGCCGCGGAGGGCGCGCTACGGGACCAGGCGGAGACGAGGCGCGCGGTGGAGAGCGAGACGGAGGGGTACAAGAAGAACATACGCGAGGCGGAGGCGGAGAACGAGCAGATGAGCGCGATACTGCGCAAGGTTGAGAAGGAAGCGGAGGCGCTGACGAAGGATTTCGAAAAGTGCCGCACGAGGAAAGAGGTGAGACTGGTTCCCATACGTTACGTACGACCCCGTTCGCGTCTTGCTCGCCGTTCCTTAAGGCGGGCGGGCGTGCTGTTCTTTCGCGCGCTGTGATGAACCTCACGTTCGTTTTGACACGTGTACATGCTATCCACCAATCGCGTGCCTGCGTTTCTGACGCGTGGATTCCCTCCACCAATCAAATCGTCGCGCGTCATAACAGGTGCTCACCGCGCAGCACGAGAAGCTCACGACGACGCTCGAGGAGACCGAGGCGACGCTCGACGCGGCGCGGAAGCGCGCGAAAGCGCTCAAGGCGGAGGAGAAGGACGCGGACGACGCGCTCGGGAGGGCGCGCGAGGACCGCAGAGCGATCGACGAGCGCGTGCTGAGTAACCTCGGCGAGCAAAGCACCGTGGAGAAGGGCGCGAATCAGACCGTCGCTGCGACGCGCGCCACGCGAAAGGACATCAAAGCCGCGGAGACGGCGGTGACGAACCTGCAGAACGACATCGCGAAAGTGCGCGTCGACGCGCTCAACGCGCAGACGCACGTCGCGGCGTTGCAAGAGACGATGGAGGCTCTTGACGCGAGTCTCAAGGACAAGACGCGGACGATTGAAAAGTACGAGTTGGAAATCAAACGACGCGCGGATGAGATCAACAAGCGCGTCAAAGACGTCGGGCGGCTCAACCTGGAGCTCGATAAGCACAAGGGCGACGGCGACGACGGCGAGAACCTCGGCCCGCTCGAGGCGACCATCAAGAGCATGCACAAGGAGGCGGACGCGACGGCGAAGGAGAACAAAGAGCTGCAGCGGCGGTGGGTCGGACATCAGACGGAGCTCGTCGCGCTCGTCAACGAAAACAACACCCTCACGGAGAAAACGCAGCGGCTCCGCGCGGAGCGCACGATATTGGAGCGACGCAAGACGCGGCTGGACGCCAACCACGAGCGCCAGGAGGGCGAAGGCGCGTCGGATTCACACTGGTCCCCATACGACCGCGTTGGCGTGGTGAACGCCGATCCTTAAGGACTTTCTCTCCCGTCGTTTCTCTACGCCCAGGGTCCCTCGGTTTCAACACCCGACCCTATGACGCCTTTCGACTCCGTCTGACCCGCCTTTCAACTCCGCCCCGACGTCGCTTTGAACGATGGAACGACCCTCACAGTGCGCGACCTGGACCGCGCGACGGAGCACATGCGTAAGGACACTCTGAGAATCAACGAGCTGTCGGCGAAGCATTTAAAACGCAAAGACGCGCTCCTGACGGACAACCACGTCCTCGAGACGGAGATCGTCGGCGAGCTGAAGGACCTGGAGGTGGCCGCGGTGGAGCTCGAGGGCAAGATCGAGGCTGCGGTCGAGGAGAAGAGGGTCACGCTCGCCAACGTCGTCGAGGCGGAGCGTCAGATCATGCTGTGGGAGCGGAAGATTCAGGCGCGTTCTCCTCACACTGGTTCCCATACGACGGCGTTCGCGTGGTGAACGCCGATCCTTAAGGACTTTTGCCGGCGCATCTCTCCGCTCATCCCTCGCTTTCAATCCCCGACCTCGACGCCTTTCAACTTCAACTGACGCCTTTGAACTCCACCCCGACATTCGCTCGTATGGAACGACCCTCAGCTCGAGAAGGAGACGCAGGCTGCGCTGGACCCCGACGTCGGCAACGACGTCGTCAACGCGATGCGCAAAGAGATCAACCGGATGGAGCACAAGCACGGCGAGCTGAAGCGGCGACAGGAGAAGCTCATACAAGAGATGGAGAAGGCCATCTACAAGCGGCAGCTGATTCAGACCAAGGCGCTGTCGGCGGCGGCGAGAAACGAGGGGGGATCGTCCTCCTCCTCCGCTTCTCTGAAGGGCCGAGCCGCGAAGAAGGACGAGATGACCAAGGCGGGGCTCAAGAAGGCGTGCGCGGCGCTGAAGAAGAGCATCAGAGAGACGGAATCCGGCGGCGCCGAGGCGGACGCGCGCATCGAACGCCTCGAGGATGACGGCGTCTGCGCGGCGACGGAGGCGCGTTCTATCTCACACTGGTCCCCATACGACCCCGTTCGCGTGGTGAACGCCGATCCTTAAGGACTTTTCCCGGCGTCTCTCTCCGCCCAGGGTCCCTCGCTTTCAATCCCCGCCCTCGACGCCTTTCAACTCCAACTGACGCCTTTCAACTCCACCCCGACGTTCGCTCGTATGGAACGACCCTAAGGCGGATCGCTTCTCCGCGGAGATCGAACGATTACGCGTCGAGGAATCAACGCTCCGCGCCGAGCGCGACGCCAAGGCGCGCGAGCGCGAGGTGCTCCAGCTCGAGGCGGCGAAGAGCGCGCGGATGCGGAAGCGATTCGAGGACGTCGTCGAGGGGCGGCACCGCGTGTTGGCTTCCGACGAGGACGTCGTCGCGGATCTCGAAAAGGCGCGGCGGCGGCGGGAGAAGTTGCTGAGCGCTGTCGAGGACGCGTGCGAGGCGGCGCCGCACTTGTGGCCGTCGCTGGAGCGCGCGCTGACGCTGCTGTCCATCTGATTGAGTGTTCGTCGCGTGTGTAGACTACCTACTTCTCTTGTCACTACATGTGGAAACTACTCGTACTCGTACGTACCTACGGCGCGACGCGCGCTTCTCGGGCGCCTCAGCTTCTTTATCTAAAAATTTTATTCGTCTCAAAATAATATTTCTTCAGTTCGTGCAGAGTTCGTGCGGTGTCATCTCGTTTGGTCACCACGACCATCGTCAGTCGTCGCCGCGCGATGTCTTCCTCCGAGTCCGAGGAGGACGAGCGCGTCCCCTACCGCGACCGCGCGGAGTGGGCGGACGTCGCGCCGATACCGCAAGACGAGAGCGCGAACCCGGGTGCGTCCGTCGCGCGTCGTCGTCGTCGTCCCCTCCTCCTCCTCCTTCTCCGCGGAAGATTCGCATCCGATCGATCTGAACCCGATCGATCGCTCGATCGCTCGCGCCGTCCTCCCCCGTCGTCGTCGTCGTCGTTCGCGCGTCCGACAAACTCTCTTCTCCTCTTTCCCTCCCTCCCTGACGTTCTTCGCACTCCGTCCACCCATCCCGCGCGTCCGTGCAGTCGTCCGCATCGCCTACTCGGAGGAGCACGCGGAAGCGTCTGCGTATTTTCGCGCGATCGTCGCGTGCGTTCTATACACTGGTCCCCATACGACCCCGTTCGCGTGGTGAACGCTGATCCTTAAGGACTTTGCCCGGCGCGTCTCTCCGCCCATCCCTCGCTTTCAATCCCCGCCATCGACGCCTTTCAACTCCAACTGACGCCTTTGAACACCACCCCGCCATCGCTTTGTATGGAACGACCCTCAGGTCCGACGAGCGCTCCGAGCGCGCGCTTCGAGTCACCGAACACTGCATCGCGCTCAACGGCGCGGACTACACCGCGTGGCACCGCCGCTGGGTCTTGATCTCCGACCCTCAGAACCTGGCGAAAAACCCACACGCGCTGCGAGACGAGCTCGCGTTCGCGGAGAAGAAGGCGCTGCGCACGCCGAAGAATTACCAAGTCTGGAATCACGTGAGGCTCTGCGTCGGCGCCGTCGGGACGGCGGAGGTGAGACGCGACGAAGAAGACCGCTCGCTTTATGTCCACGCGACCCCACGTTTTGACCACACGTTTTGACACGTGTGAAAAGCTATCCACCAATCACGTCCCCGCACACCTGACACGCGTCTCCCCTCGACCCATCGCAGGCGGCGCGTCGAAACCTGAAAGTCGTCGAAGAAGCCCTCGACGCCGACGCGAAAAACTACCACGCGTGGAGCCACCGCGGCTGGGTCGTCGCTCGGTTCGGGCTGTGGGAGGAAGAGAAGGCGTACGCGTCGCGGATGATCGACGCGGACGTCCGAAACAACAGCGCGTGGTCGGCGCGATGGCACTGCGTCGTCGGACGCGCCGCCGCCGAGGCGGCGGCGTCCGACGCGGCGTCCGACGCGGCGGTCCCTTCGCCGTCAGGTGCGTTCTATACACTGGTTCCCATACGACCCCGTTCGCGTTGTGAACGCCGATCCTTAAGGACTTTTGCCGGCGCATCTCTCCGCCCACCCGTCGCTTTCAATCCCCGCCATCGACGCCTTTCAACTTCAACTGACGCCTTTGAACTCCACCCCGACATTCGCTTGTATAGAACGGCCGTCGCTCGCCGTCGTCGACGACGAGCTCGCGTACGTCGAGGCGAAGATCGACCTCGCGCCGGACAACGAGTCGGCGTGGAACTACGCGCGAGGCCTTCTGCGATTGAAACACGTCGGGTGGGCGCGCGGCGAACGCGTCGCGCGGCGGCACTGCGGCGCGTGGACGAGCGTCGTGAGCGGCGGCGGCGGCGGCGGGTCGTCGCGAGAGGACGACGAGGGCGACCCGATGGAGACGAGTCAGCGATCTCCCGGCGGCGTGAAGACGAGGAGGGCGAGCGCGAGCGCGGCGGCGGCGGCGATGGACGGCGAGACGCCGTGCGCGCCGCCGGCGCCTTCGCGGCACGCGCTCGGACTGCTCGCGGAAATTTTGACCCGCGGCGGCGGGGAGGGGGGCGGGGAGGACGGCGGGGGGGAAGACGGAACGTCAACCGACACGTCCACGGCGCGCGCGCGCGAGGCGATCTGGGCGTTCAGCACGCTCGCGAAGACGGACGTGATCCGCGCCAACTACTGGACGTTTCGAAAGGCGCAGTGCGAGGGTCGACTGCTCCAACTGAAGTCGTGATGATTGATGAGAGTCGAGTCTGAGAGCAGTACACGTACCTTCGTACGAAAGTACGTTCGTACAGCTGGTGTCTATAGACAGGAGCTTCGCTCCAGTCTGCTAGACACTCTTTACGCGAAATATTGCGCGTCACTACGACGAGACACCTCACTCCTCGTCTCGGTGCCCTAAACTCTTGATCGCCTCCTCGAACGCGACGAACGGAATCGTCCCGTGCGCGGGCGGCGACGTCTTCATCAGATGCACGATCGCGAGCTCGCCCATGATGTCCTCGTCCGGGTCCGCTTCGATGCGTTCGAACACGTGCGCGAGCGCGAACCGCGTCTCCGCCGGGCTAAACGACGGCACGAGCGTCTGGCACAAAACTCGAAACTCGTCCGCGTCGAGCAACCCGTCGCCGTCGCCGTCGAAGCGATCGAAGAGCGCGCGCGCGGTGAGGTCGTCGCCCTCGCGCTCGAACGCGTCTCGAAGCGCGGATAAAGCGCGGTCGAGGCCGCGGACGTCGGGGGGGCGGTGCGTCGGCGGCGGCGGCGGCGGTTTTGGGCCGCCCTTGGACGGCGGCAGCGGTTTCTTCGTCGGAGGCTTCTTCGACGGCGGCGGCGCGGACGCTTCGCTCTCTCCGGCGACGGACGACGGCGCGGCCGCGGCGGCGGTGGCATCGGCACCCCCATCGGCACCATCCGCGGCGTCCGGCGGCGGCGGCGCGTTCCCGAGCGCCATTCTCGCCCTCGCCGCCTTGTGCGCCCTCTGCGCGCTCCGCACGCGGTCCCTCAGCGCCTCCAAACTCACGACGACGGCGCCCTCTGCCTCGCCCTCGCCGTCGCCGTCGCAATCGCCGCTCCGCACGTCCGCGACTTCCACCTCGAAGTGCCTCAACTCTCGGATCGTGACGTCCGGGACAGCTTGCACGACGAGGTACCGAAGCTCCCCGCGCGATAAGCCGCCCTTCTCGAGCTTAGGGTCGTTCCATACGAGCGATGATATCGGGGTGGAGTTGAAAGGCGTCAGAAGCGGAGTTGAAAGGCAACGAGGTGTGTCGGGATTGAAAGCGAGGGACCCTGGGCGGAGAGATAAGCCGGGAGAGAAAGTCCTTAAGGAATCGCGTTCACCACGCCGACGCGGCCGTATGGGGACCAGTGTGAGAAGAACGCACCTTATCCATGTCGAGCACCGCAGCCTTGAGGCCGCCCTTACGGCTCTGGAAGTACGTGCGGAGGAGGAGGTAGATATCTCGCGGCGCGCGCCAGCCCGGCTTCTGCGACGGCAACGTCTCCGGCTCGGACGGCGCGGCTTCCTCCTCCTCCTCCTCCTCCTCCTCCTCCGCGTCCTCTCTCGGCCCGCCGTCCGTCTGGAGTTGAAAGGCGTCAGTCGGGGTGGAGTTGAAAGGCGTCAGTTGGAGTTCAAAGGCGTCGATGGCGGGGATTGAAAGCGAGGGATGGGCGGAGAGATGCGCCGGCGAAAGTCCTTAAGGATCGGCGTTCACCACGCCGACGCGGTCGTATGGGGACTAGTGTAACCAGAACGCACCTGGACGCCGATCCCGTTCACCGAGTCCGCCTCCCACTCGTCCTCGACGTCCTTGTCCTCCTCGGGGAGCGCGGCGGCGGCGGCCGCCGCCGCGGCGGCGGCGACGCCCAGGTGGACGACGCCGGGGCACGGCGGGTGCGGCAGCCGCCGCCACCGCGTGTCCTCCGCGTCGAGCGCGGCGAACATCGCCGCGCCGGCGTCGCGCATCGCGGACTCGATGACTTCCTTCGCGGTCGTCTCCGCGTCGCGCATGGCGGCGATGGCGGCTTCGCCGAGGTCGCGTCGCGCCTGCGCCGCCATTCGCGCGCGGCGAAGTTTCGCCATCGCCACGACATCCTCCTCCTCCTCCTCCTCCTCGTCGTCGTCGTCGCCGCCTTTCTTTTTCTTCACGAGATTTCCCTTCGCATCCTTCTTCGCCTTCGCGCCGAACGCCGGGATGACGCCGCCGCCGCCGCCCTCGTCGTCGTCGTCGCTCTCGCCGCCGCCCTCGTCCAACGCCTGCCCGCTGTCGCTGCCGACTTCGATCGCCGCCTCCTCGGGCAACTCGGGCATCGCGTCGCGCGTCACGAGACTCGCGTCGCGGACATCCTCCGCGAGGTCGTCGAAGACGTCGCGCATGGCGATTTGTAACGCCCGCGCGGCGGCAGTTAACGCTTGGACGTCCGCGAGCGACTTGGGCGTCGGCACCGCGTCCTCGGGGTCCAAGAAGAACTCCGCGTCCTGGTCGTCCCCGGCGGTGGGGTCCGCGACGGCGTCCTTCAACGACGCGGCGAGCGCGGTGATCTTGTTCGCCGTCGCCGTCGCGGCGTCCACGATGCCGTCCGCGGCAGCCTTCGCCTCGAGCTCGATCGTCTCCTTCTTCCGCGGCGCGTTCGGGTCCTTCTCGCCCTCCTCCTCCTCCATGAGCTCCGCGTCCGTCTTCTCCCGCGGCGGCGGATCGCACGCGCACGCCGTCATCACCACCTTCGCGTCGTCTCCCGCGGCTTCCAGCGCGCGGCGCGCGAACCCCGCGACGGATACGAGGTCCACCGCGACCGTGGACGGGAACCCGCCTGTCGCGCCCGCCTGCGAGCGAATGTCGGGGTGGAGTTGAAAGGCGTCAGAAGCAGAGTTGAAAGGCGTCGCGGGCGGGGATTGAAAGCGGGGGGTGGGCGGAGAGAGACGACGGCAAAAGTCCTTAAGAAATGGCGTTCACCACGCGAACGCGGTCGTATGGGGACCAGTGTGAGATAGAACGCACCTCCGCGCTCGCGACGTCGTCCACGAGCCCGCTCCAACCCTCCGCGACGCGTCGCATCTTCCGCACGACGGGGAGGAGGCCGTTGAGCATCCGCGCCGGCGCGGGCGGCGCGTCGACGTACGGGCCCTCGCCCTCCTCGCCGTCCGCGGGGTTCTTGTCCGTGCACAGGGCGTCGCCGAGGGCGACGGTGACGGACGCGATGACGCGTTCGAGGGAGTTTTTATACCTCGCGAGCTCGACGCGAACTTTCCGGATCTGCTCGTCCATGCGTTCGCCGCCGACGACGAACCCCGCGGGTTTCGGCGACGTGTTCACCGTCGCCCACACGGCGTACACCGCCGCGGGTTTTAACGCCTTCAACGCGGCCGTTACTTCGTACTCCGCGCCGGTGATGACGTTGAACATCGCGTTCCTGGCTTGTTTCGACACCTCGCCGTACGCGCGCCCGGATTTCACCCCCGCGCACAACGGTTTCAACGCGCGCTTGATGGACGCGCGAATCGCGTCGTCGGCGCGTTTGAGGCAGTGACGCAACGGCACCGTCTGGTCCGCCGCCGCCACCGCGATCGCCTCTCGCGTCTCCGCGGCATCTCGCGTGAGCTCCTTCGCGATCGGCATCAGGAGCGTCATCGTGTCCGCGGCGAGGCCCTTCGGTATGTCCACCTCCGCGGACAACGTGCTGAACCTGTGCCCGACGTCGAAGTGCGACTGCGGGAGGGCGGTTGGTTTCACAAGTTCGTTCATCGGTCAGTTGAAAGGCGCGATGGAATAGATAATAGAGTATTGAAACCGAGGGACGGGTGAAAAACGTTCGTACGCACCTCGGGCTCCGCCGGCGCCTCCGGATTCGCCACCACCGCCGCCGTCGCCTTCTCGAAACTCTGAAGCAGCGACTGAAGCAGCCCGCAGAACGCGCGGTACCGCGAGTCCGACTGCTTCCGCCACGTCTCCGTCACGAACCCCGCCTCTTGCGCGGCGAAAATCTCGCCGAGCGCGCGACTCTTGACGTTTTCCAACGCCGCCTTGGTCCGCGATCGCGCCTCCTTCACCGCGCCGAAGACCCTTTCAAACGACGGCGAGCCCTCTTTCAAACGCGCGGGGCGGTCGATCAAGCTCACCCCCAGCGCTTTCGCCTCCGCGCGCGCGTCCTGCGCGACGCGCCGCAGCGTCTTGAGGACGACGCGCTCGGCGTCGTCGAACGCGGCGGTGATCTCGTCCATGGCGTCTCTCTCCGCGGCGCGAGCCGCCCACGCGCGCTGCGTCTTTTTCGCCTCGCGCTCGTGGTACTGCTCCGCCTCCTCCTCCGCGGCGCGCTTCCTCGCCTCTTCCGCGCGCGCGCTCTGCTTCCGCATGCGAATCTCCTCGCGCCGTCGCTTCTCTTCGTCGGACATGAAGTACACGGGAGAGAAGTAATCCGTGATGACCTTGAAGAACGCGAGCTTATCCAACGCCTCTTGCTCCTCTCTGAGGGTCGTTCCGTCGTGCGAAGCGAAGCGACGAACGTCGGGGTGGAGTTGAAAGGCGTCAGAAGCGGAGTCGAAAGGCGTCGAGGCGCGTGCGTCGGGATCGAATGAAACCGAGGGGTGGTGAGCGGAGAGAAGAACCGGGAGAGAAAGTCCTCAAGGAATGAAGTTCACAACGCCGACGCGGTCGTATGGGGACCAGTGCGAGATAGAATACGCGCCTGATGTGCTTCTGCTTCTCCTCCTCCATCTCCGCGGCTTTCGCCGCCGCCGCGTTCGCGTGCACGGTCGCCACCGCGAACGCGGCGGCGGCGACGGCGACGCGTCCGAGCCGCTCCCTGTGCCGCTTCTGTCGCCGTTCGAGCATCTCCTGTTGCACCTCCTCGAGCGACCCGGTGGATTTCGGCGTCCCGTTTTTTATCTATCGATTCGGTCGAGGAGGGTCCATCGTTCAAAGCGTCGGGGTGGAGTTGAAAGGCGCGTCAGGGGTGGAGTTGAAAGGCGGGCGTCGAGGTGTGTCGGGATCGAAAGGAAGGGGTGATGGGCGGAGAGAGACGCCGGGAGAGAAAGTCCTTCTTAAGGATCGGCGTTCATCACGCCGACGCGGTCGTATGGGGACCAGTGTGAGATAAACGACGGAACGCGCCTTGTTGAGCGCCTCCTCGGCGACGTCGGCGGCGTTGAACTTTTCCTGCGTCGCCATCCACTGCCGCTTGCTGCTCGGGAGCAGCATCCCCATCGTGTTCGTGCGAAACTCCGCCGCGCGCATCGCCTGCTGCATGTACACCGCGTGCGATTCCGCGACGCGTTCCGCCGTGCGCATCGCGCTCTCCGCGCCGCGCTTGACGTTCGCCAGCTGTCTCTCTTGTCTCGCCTGCGGGTCGTTTGATTGGTGGGCGACGAGGCGGGAAGTGATGTGATTGGTTGGTTAGTTATTTGATGACGTGGACGACGCTTCATCGGACGAGAGAGAGCGACGGAGAGAGAGAGACGCCGGGAAGTAAAGTCCTTAAGGATCGGCGTTCACATCGCCGACGGGGTCGTACGGGGATCAGTGTGAACGCGCGAAAACGAAACGCGCCTCGGCTTGAAACGCGCGCTCGCGCTCGGCGCGCATCTCGCGTCGCAGCAACCGCATCTCCGTGACGACGCTCGCGACGTGCCCCTCGTTCGCGGTGACGGAGACGAGCACCCTCGGCGGCGGCTCCACCGTCTGCGGCAGCCCCGGGTGGAGTCCCGGCTGCGGCTCGGAGGGTTCTTCGCCTGATGAGATTTGCGCCGTCCCCCCCGGCGGCACGTTCTCGAGCCCTCCCGCCGCGCCCCCCCCCCGGAGGTTCACCACGAGCTTCACCGGGGAGTCGATCGCGCCCTCGAGCTCCTCGTTCGCTTTGGAAGTGCGCTCGATCTCTTTCGCCATGGCGTCTTCGCGGTCGACGCGCTCGGTCCTCTCGCGCTCCCATCGCGCCTGCTCGCGCCGCAGCGAGAGCACCTCGGAGGTGAGGTCGACGACCTCGCCGCCGGCGGCGTTCCACGCCGCGGGCGCGAGCCCCCACGCGCTCGCGCTCGCGTCGTCTCGTATGCGTCGCGCCGAGCGCGGGGAGGTGTTGGCGTCGGCGTCGGCGTCGGCGTTGTCGTTGCTTTTGTTGGCGCCTCGCGTCCGCATCGCGGCGACTTTTTTCTCCGCCGCTCTCGCGGCCGCGCGCGCTCTCAGGACATCGCGCTGCGCCTTCTCCTTCCTGTCCTGCGCGATGCGCTCTTTCTCCGCGTCGTACGGCGTCTGCGGCATCGCGCGCGCCCGCGCCGCGACGACTCCTCGCGCGTCGCGCTCTGGAGACGGGGGATGGGGAGAGGGGGGACAGGAGGAAATAGTCGGCATCGCTCTCGTTTTCAACGGAAGCATTTTTCCGTCTCGGTTCCCCCGGCTTCCGGCCTCGGAACGACCGAAACGCATCTCTCATTCCGTCTCGCGCGGCCGCCGCGCGCCCCCGCCAGATGAGCGAACGCGTCGACATCCCGCCGCCGTCCGCGCCCGCGGCGACGCCGCCGCGACGACGACCGCGCGACGCGTCCGTGCCGTCGACGCCGCCGAGCAACGGCAAGCCGCGCCTCGCGAGCGCCGGCGGAGGAAATCATGCGGCGAAGACGACGACGCATTATTCTGGCGAACTGCGCGTGTTCCGCGACGACGACGACGACGACGTATTCGACGACGACGACGCGCGCGACGACGCGGAAAACGCGCCGCGGGCGTCGTCGTCCTCGGGGGCGTCCTCCGAGGGCGACGAGGGGATCGACGGCGTCGCGGCCGCGGTCGTCGCGCCGTCCCCGAAAGAGGCGCGTCGCGCGCGAGATCCACCCGCATCCGCTCGACGAGCGCGGTCGACGCGCGCTGCGACAGCTGTCGTTCCCCTTCGAATTTCTTTCTTTCGTCGGCGCGACCTCGCCTCGGATCCGTTCTCACCCCGACGCCGCCGCCCGCCTCTTCCTCTTCCCCTTACTCGTCGTAGGACGAATCCATCGCGCTCGCGAGGATGCTCGAGGAGCAAGAGCGCGCGTACTTCGCGCTCGGCGGCGGCGACTACGACGCCGCCGCGGGCGTCGTCGGCGGCGCCGCCGACGAAGGCGAAGAGGACGAGGACGAGTCCGTCGCGCTCGCGCGCGCGCTGATGGAAGAAGAACGCGCGCAGTGGCGCGCGCGGATGCTCCAGATGGCCGGACACGCCGTGGACGAGGAGACGGGCGTCGTGTACAGCGACGACGACGGCGTCGACACGGACGCGATGACGTACGAAGATCTGACCGCGTTGGGCGAACGCATGGGGACGCAGGCACGTTCAGGGTCTCACACTGGTTTCCATACGACCCCGTTGGCGTTGTGAACGCCGTTTCTTAAGGACTTTACTTCCCGGCGCGCGTGTCTCTCCGCCCACCCCTTCCTTTCAATCCCGACACACACGCCGCGACGCCTTTCAACTCCGCCACTGACGCCTTTCAACTCCAGTCGAGGGGCCTGCCCGACGACGTCATCGACGCGCTGCCGGTGGAGCCCTGGTCCTCCGTGCTGTCGTCGAAACGGCGTGGCGGTAATAATTATGACACGTCAGCGAATCAAGAGGAGAATCGGATGGACGACGATAGCCAATCGGAGGACTGCGCGGTGTGCCGGATGGCGTTCGAGGAGGACGACGCGGTGACGACGCTGCCGAGGTGTCGGCATCGGGCGCGTTCTCTCACACTGGTTCCCATACGACCGCGTCGGCGTGGTGGACGCCGATCCTTAAGGACTTTCTCTCCTGGCGTTTCTCTCCGCCCAGGGTCCCTCGCTTTCAATCCCGACACACCTCGACGCCTTTCAACTCCGCTTCTGACGCCTTTCAACTGCACCCCGATATCAACGCTCGTGTGGACGATTACCCTCAGTACCACGCGGAGTGCCTGCGGCCGTGGCTGGAAGATAACCGGTGCTGCCCGATGTGCAAGCGCGAGATCTCGGACAAGACGAAGTGAGCGAGGGCACGGTGAGGTGAGACGCGTGCGGGACGGAGTGCGTGGACGGGATGGGATGGGGGGGACGGGAGAAGACAGACAGACAGACCCTCGGGGAGAGGAGAACTTTTTATAAGAATGTACTTTTCGCGAACGAACGAAACGAAAGAATTGATTCGCGGCCACGCTTACAACCGCTGATGATACAGTACTGTAGTGCTTTCTCCCCACCCAAACCCATCCCCCTATCCCCACCCCGGGGGCGAAACGACGCGCGCGTCGCCAAACGCGCGGTCCGTCCGTTCCGTTCGCCCCAAAAAATCACACGGTACCGCGCGTCGCCGACCGATCAAATCGTTCGCTCGCGCGGAACGACCCTCCTCACTCAGGTGCGTCCCATACACTGGTTCCCGTACGACCCCGTTGGCGTGGTGAACGCCGTTACTTAAGGACTTTATCTCCCGGCGCATCTCTCCGCTTACACCACGTTTTCAATCCCCGCCCTCGACGCCTTTCAACTTCAACTGACGCCTTTCAACTCCACCCCGACGTTCGCTCGTACAGAACGCGCCTCACTCCATCGTCGGCTTCCACGTCCTGTCGCTCCCGTCGACGGACTTGCCGTCCTCGTCTAGCTCGCACAGCGGATCGTTCGGCGTCTTCGGCAAGCCCAAACCATACGGATCGTAGTCCGCGGGCATGGAGTCCTTCCCGCTCGCGCTGAAGTCCGGCTCGACGCGCGTCGTGCACACGCGGACGTACCCCAAGCCGCCGCAGAGGAGACACTTCATCTGATGTCGTCGAGAGGGTGGGGTCGTCGGGGCGGGGAGTCGAAAGGCGTCAGGCGGGGATTGAAAGGAAGGGGTGGGCGGAGAGGGACGACAGCAAAAGTCCTTAAGGATCGGCGTTCACCACGCGAACGCGGTCGTATGGGGACCAACGCGACGGACGCGACTCCTCCCACCTGCGTCGATCGCGATCGCTTCACGCGCGACGTGCCGAACGATCTCGTCTTCACGATCCCGCACCCGTCGCACGCGCAGCACCGCTCGTCGTACTTCATCGCGATGCGCTCGATGCTGCACGAGTCCTTCGTGGGCTGGCACTCCGCCTCCTCCGCGGTGGACGGGCGAAGTTTACGGATCTCGTTCCACATGTACCCTCGCGGCGTCGAGATGGGGAGAGGCAGCGCGCGATGGAGTTTGCCGTTCAGCGGGCTCGGGTCGGGCTTGGAGCTCATCGTCGTCGTCGTCACGAGAGTTCGGGCCCCACCGCGGCGCCGCGGCGGCGGCGCGGCGCGCTCGAGGCGGCGGTGGCGTCGGGCCCCGCATCCGACGCGGGAGGAGGAGGAGGACGCGCGCGAGGACGACGTGGACGCGGTCGCGGACGCGGCCGCGCGCATCGTCTCGCACCGTCGCCCTGCGAGCTAAATATCGGGCGCGGCACCTCCTACTCCGCGCAGATATTAACTAACCGACGAAGCGTCGCGTCGACGCGCGCTCTCTCGACGTGCCTCCCTCCTCTCGCCGTCGACGCGACGCGCGCGCGGCGGATCTGGGCGCGCGCGGGGTGGGGCGCGTCTTCGTCCTCGACGCCGCGAAGATGCACGCGGGAGACGGCGAGCGCGCGCGACGAGAAGTGGACGCGCCGCGGACGAGCCATCATCAGATCGAAAAAGCGCACGTGGGATTCGGTGATGAGATCCGCATACTGTAAAAAGTGATACTACAGGTATTCTTCGGCGTCGCGACGCCCGCGCCCCATTCCCTCTGTCGATCCATCCTCCGTCCATCATCCATCGCGTCGCGTAATCGCGTCGCGTCACGCCCTGAATATCCCGTGCCCGAGCGCGCCCTCGATGACGAACGTCAAGATCAACCCCGTCATCGCCGCGCGCCCGTTCCAAAGCTCCGCGACTGGCGCGAACCTGGGTGGAGTTGGGTGGAGTTGAAAGGCGTCAGAAGCGGAGTTGAAAGGCGCCGAGGTCGGGGTTTGAAATCGAGGGCTGGGCGGAGAGAGACGCCGGGCAAAGTCCTTAAGGATCGGCGTTCACCACGCGAACGCGGTCGTATGGGGACCAGTGTGTAGAACGCACCCCAGGCGACCGACGGGCGAATCGATCCCGGGCAAGCCGCTGATTGACGAGGGTCGAGGGAGGGTCCGTTCAAAGCGAAACGACGTCGGGGTGGGTGGAGTTCAAAGGCGCGTCAGGGGTGGAGTCGAAAGGCGTCGTCGATGCGCGTCGGGATTGAAAGCAGCGGGGGGTGGTGGGCGGAGATACACGCGGTCGTACGGGAACCGGCGTGAGCGGCAAACGGCGAAAGTCCTTAAGGATCGGCGTCCAACACGCGGACGCGGTCGTATGGGGACCAGTGTGAATCATGTGAACGCGCCTGACGTCGAGCGCCCTCGGATCGCACAGGTACCGCCGCTTCCCTTTCGCCGTGGCGTCGTCGTTGTACCGCGCGACGCCGTCGCCGCCCGTCCACGGCGTCTCCTTCGCGTCCGCCATGAACGACGGCGCGAGCGTGCCAACGAGGACGAGCGCGATGATCGTCGGCGAGACGCCGTGCGTGAGATTATACGCCTACGCGGCGCGACGCGGTTGGTCAGTTCGGAGGCGGAACGATCGGTGATTGGAGGATAGTCGAGGAGATATGATGACGTGGATGTTGCTAACGTGTGGTTGGTTGTTGTTGGCTGTCGACGTGACACGTGGCGGCGCGCCACGCTACCACGCCGCGACACGGACGCACCAGCTGCGTCGTGAACGACTGCCCCGTGACCAGCTCTTTGATCAGCGCGGTGAAAAACCCGAACATCGCGACTCGCCCGTTCACGAGCTCCGGGCACACGCCGTCCACCGCGAACAGCAGCATCGCGTCGGAGCTGAGGAGCTTGTCCAGGATACCGTCTCGCGCCGGGCCGGGCCCCGGCGCGGCGGCTTTCGCGGCGGCGGCGATCGCGTTCTGACGCTCGATCTCGGCCCAGTCGTTCTGGGAGAGTCGCTCGGGCCCGCGCGGCGGTGACGCGTCGTTCGTCGACGCGGACGGCGACGCCGGCGACGCCGCGGGATCGCCGGAGGACGCCGGCGACGGCGACGCCGGCGGCGAGGACGACGACGACTTCTCCTTTCGCTTCTGCTGCTTCTTCCGCCGGCCCGCCATCGCGACGATCGAGACGCCTCGACGTCGCGAGAGCGATCCCGGGCGGCCGCCGCCGCGGGAGCCCGGGGCCCCGACGCCGCGGAGGGGGGCGGCGGGTCTCGACGCCGTCGCCGCGGACGACGACGACGCGGTCGTCCGAGCGCCGAGCGCGGAGGCGCGCGCGAGGGTCGCGCCGTGCATCGCGCGCGACGGTGGCGCGGCGCGGAGAGGTATGACGTCGGCACCCGACCGAAATGGATAAACGTGGCTGTGAGGGGGAGCGCGCTTCGCGCGTCATCACAAAAAGTTTGCTATGATAGCTACCTTCGAAGGTAGATGCCCCGCCGCTATCGTCGCCATCGTATCATAGACCCGTCCTCGTCGTCGTCGTCGTCGTCGTCGTCGTCACAGCTTCAACGCGACGGGATGGTCCGGGCGCATCACGAGCGCGCTCGCCTCTTTCGGATCCCACACCGTCACGAGCCCGCCCTCCCTCCCCGGGTTAGCCGACCGCGCGACGACGCCGCACAGGCCGATCACGACGCGTTGACCGCCTGCGTGGGTGAAGCGATCGGTCAGTCGAACGTCTTACCGGTCAAACTTACGTTGAAAGGGAAGCGCGGGTGAAGAGTGACGACGGGAAAAGTCCTTAAGGAACGGCGTGCATCACGCGAACGGGGTCGTACGGGAAGCAGTCTCACCTCCTCCGCGTCCGCCGCCGCGCTCGGCGTCCAACGCCGCCGCGGCGCGCTTCGCGGGGCGACCGATCAACTGCGCGCGGATCCGAGCCCCGGTGTGATCGCCCAGAGTGATGAACAGCATGTCGTACGCGCGCTGCGTCTTCGGGTTCGTCACGACCTTGGTCCCCGCGGGCGGGTCGCGCGCGTGCACCGCGCCGACTACGGAGACTTTTTTATTCGCCGCGGCGGTCGCGGTCGAAGAGCCTCCCGCGGCGGCGGCGGCTGCGGCGGCGGCTTTCAGCGACGCGAACGAGACGACGTCCGGGACGTCGGCCGGCCACGGCGCGCGCGCGGCGACCGCGTCGTCGCGGACCGCGGCCGCGCGCGAGAGCGCGCTCGACGCCGCGCCGCGCGGAGGCGAGTCGAACCCGGACGATGACGCGTATTGCGGCGGCGGCGGCGGCGGCGGCGGCGGCGGCTCCCCCGCCTCCGCCCCCAGCGCCCCCCACAGCGCCGTCACCTCCTCGCGAGCCGCCTCGCGGAGCCGCCGGTCGCCCGCCTCGCTCAGCGCGCCGCGCAGCGCGGGTATCGCGTCGCGTAACGCCCATCGTCTGGCCGTTTCGTCCGACGACGCGTACGCGCGCAGCCACCGCGCGGCGGCGACGGCGGCGTCGACGTCCTTCCCGACGGGCGCGTCCGCGACGGTCGCGATCGTCGACTGATGATGCTGACGTGGACGCGAATGCGATCCTCCGGAGTACGTCGGCGTGTGTGCTACACCGTTGTGACGGTTCGTATTCCCGGTGGTGTGCGACGGTTCGTGTCCCGGCGGCGCGAACGCGCGCATGACGTCGTCGAACGGCCCCGACGGCGGCGACGGCCCGAGGAGCGTCTTGAGCCGCTGCTTCGCCGCCGTCGCCGACGGCGTCGCGTACAGATACGCGCCACGTGGCGCCACGTCAGCGTCGTTATCCGTAGCATCCTTCTTCTCGCCTCCGCCGCCGTTCATCGCGTCCACCGCCGCGGCGGCGCCCGCGCGCCCCGACGCCGCGGCCACCTCCGCGACGGCGGCGCGCGCCGCGGCGCGGCACACCTCCCTCGCCGCGGCGGCGGTCACCGCGGCCGGCACGCGCCCGCGCCCGCGCAGATGCTCCCCGCCCGCGAGAGGGAGAGGCGCACCGCTCGCGATGAGACCCGGGTGCGCGTGGAGGACGGCGCCGAGGAACGCGTACGCGGCGCATCGCACCGACGGCGGCGATACCTCCGACCGCGACGCCGGCGGCGCCGCCTCCGCCGGGTTCGGCGGCGGCGGCGGCGGCGTCGTCGCGTCGACCAGCGCGCCGGCGAGAAAGGGCAGCACGTCCGCGATCGTCTCCGGGACGAGCCCGGCGCTCTCCGCGCGCGCCACGACGCGCGTCATCGCGCGGAGGCCGCCGACCGCGGCGGCGATCGTGCCGACGCGCGGGCACGGAAACCTCTCCCCGGGTCGTCTGCCGACGTGTCCGCCGGCGTGTCCGACGGAACGCGCGACGGCGCGGCGGACGTGGTTGGCGACGACGTGACGCGCGAGGTCGCGACCGTTCTGGCACGACGCGACCGAGGCGTGGACGCCCGCCCACACGGCGTCGACCGCGAGGTCGAAGGCGACGCGCTCGTGGCACGCGGTCGACGACGATCGCGACGACGCCGGGGGCCGCTCCCACGCGACGTGGCACAGCGCCGCCGCCGCGCGAAGCGCCGCGGGGTTCTTCGATTGGTCGTTCGCGGAGAAGATCGCGGCGAGCGCGGCCGCGCATTCGCCGAGCCACGCCGACGTGGCGCCGACGTGGTCCTCCGCGCGCGCCGCCGCGCGCGCCGCGGCTTCCGCGCGGTGGCTCCCCGCGTGCGCGCTCGCCGCCGCCGCCGAATACTGCGTGGGTGAAGCGATCGGTCAGTCAAACGTCTTACCGGTCAAACGTACGTTGAAAGGGAAGCGCGGGTGAAGAGTGACGACGGGAAAAGTCCTTAAGGAACGGCGTGCACCACGCGAACGGGGTCGTATGGGAAGCAGTCTCACCGCCGTCGCCGCCGCCGTCTCGAGCGCTTTCGTCGCCTTCGCGTGTCTCTCCGCGACGCGAACCGTCGCGTCCGTCAACCGCGTGCGACCGACCGATCGATCGCCCGAGTCCGGGAGCGCGATGTGCGTTGCCGCGGGGTGCGCGAAAACCGCCGCCGCGCCGACGCCGGCGACGGCGTCGGCCCACGCCGACGCGAGCGGACCCCCGCGCGTCTCCGCGGCTCTGGAGTTCAAAGGCGGAGTTCAAAGGCGGAGTTCAAAGGCGTCAGTTGACGTTGAAAGGCATCGAGGCGTGTCGGGATTGAAAGCGAGGGGTGGGCGGAGAGAATCGCCGGGCAAAGAAAGTCCTTAAGGATCGGCGTTCACCACGCGAACGCGGTCGTATGGGGACCAGTGTGAGATAGAACGCGCCTCGCCGCGTCCACTTCGAACACCGCGTTGTTCACCGCGGTGACCGCCGCGGTCGCCGCGCGCGGGTCGCCGCACGCGGAAGACGCCCTCAGCGCGTCGCGGACCCAGCCCGCGCGGACCGCGAGCGGCGGCGCGCACGACGCGTCCCCGGGGTCGGCGACCGACCTCGCGGAGTCGTTCGGATCGACGCCGACGCCTTCAGAACGCGTCGTCAAAATCGGCGGCGGCAAAATCGCCGACAGCGTCGGATGTCGCCGCGCCGCGCGCGTCAGACGCGCGCGCGCGCGGCCGATCCCGGAGACGCCCAAGTCGCCCTCGCCCAAGTCGCCCTTCGCCGTCGCCGCGGGGTCGAGCGCGGCGAGGACCCAGAGTTTCAGCAGCGGCGCGCCGACGCCGGCTTGGAGCACCGGCGACGCGTCCTGAAAGGCGTCAGTTGAAAGGCGTCAGTTGAAAGGCGTCAGTTGGAGTTGAAAGGCGTCGAGGTGTGTCGGGATTGAAAGCGAGGGACCCTGGGCGGAGAGACACGACGGGAGATAAAGTCCTTAAGGATCGGCGTTCACCACGCCGACGGGGTCGTATGGGGACCAGTGTGAGATAGAACGCGCCTTCAGCCTCGAGTACATCCGCAACGCGAGCGCGCGGTACGGGGGACCCGCGGCTTTCCAAAACGCCGTCGGCGCGTGCGGCGCGCATATCTCCCGCTCCGCCCTGCCCCAACCCCACGCGCCGCTGCGCAAGAACGCGGAGATGCACCGCGACGACGTCTCGATGACGTACCGCGCGCACCCGGTCGACGTCGACGTCGATATTGCGCCGCGTTCGGATTCCGCGGCGGTTACGCCGGCGGCTCTTCTGGCCGGGTGGTCCACTTCCAGGAGCGCCGATAACGACGGCCACACGTGCTCGCACAGCGCGCTCGCCGCCGCCTTCGCCGCCGCCTTGGCGTCCGCGTCGCCGGCCGCCGTCGCCGCGGAAGACGCGAGCGACGTCGACGTCGCCGCGGCGGCGACGAGGCGAAGCGCGCGGCGGCGGAGCCGCGCGCGAAAGGGAAACCGCGGATGCAGAAACGCGCCGAGCGTGGGGGACAGCAACGCGCGCGCGCCGGGAGTTATCATCGAGACTCCTCCGATTGTTTCTCCGCCAACGTTTCTCCCAGAAGAAGACACCCACGAATGACGATGTGACACGTGTCGCCGCAACGCGTGCAGGCCGTGAAGCAGCAACACGTGGCACTCCTCCATGCGTTCGAGGAGCGCCTCCGCGCCCTCAGACGACGCGCCGTTCGCGCCGTTCGCGTCGCCTCCTCGGACGACCGCCTCGAGCGCGGGCGGCAGCGGCGGCGGCGCGGGGAGGTGGCTCGCGATTCCATGGTCGTCGCCGGTCCCGCCGCCCGCGGCGCGCCACCGCGCGTGCTCGCGAAGAAGACAAAACTCCTCGCCGAGGACGGCCATCGTCGCGAGCGTCGCCGTCGCCGCGGGCCACGCGTCGGACACCGTGCCTTCGTCCGACACCGTACCTTCGTCCGACACTATTGTCACCACCGCCGCGGCCTCGGCCTCGAGCTGAAGAAGTCGAAGCGACGCGCGAAGCGTCGCGGCGCGGCGCACGCCGGGCCGCGCGCGGAACGCCTCCGCGTTCGGTCCCCCGACGAGCGCGAGCGACGGCGAATCTCTCGGCGCGCCGCGCGTTTTCCCGCCTCTTCCTCGCGTTCCTCGCCGCCGCGCGAGGAGGACGCACAGCGCGCACAGCGCGGCGAGCTCCGCGTCCGCGGCCGCGTCCGCGGCCGCGCGCGTCTCCGGCGTCGCGGCGTCCGCGCACGCGAGCTCCGCGATGGCGACGGCGCGCGCGGCGGCCGCGAGCCACTCGCGCGCCGCGTTTTGGTTTTGGTTTTGGTTTTGGTTTTGGTTTTGGCTTTGGTTTTCGACGACGGTGCCGTCTTCTTCGGCGGCGGAACAGTCGTTCGCGTCCGCGGCGTCCTCCGCGGCGGCGGCGGCGATGGCTTCGCGCAACGCCGCCGCCGCGTCGGACGCGCCTCGCGCGGCGGCGGTCTCCGCGTGCGCTTCCGCGACCGCGCGCGATTCCGCGCGTCGCGCGGCTTTCGCGGCCTTGATCGCGTCGGCGGCGGCGCGGCGGCGGCCGGGGCCGGCGGCGCCCCCGCGGCGGCGCCGGCGGGCGCGACGTTCGGCGGAGGACGTCGCTCCCGCGCCCTCCTCCGCGGCGTTCGCGCCCTCGTCGTCCTCCGCCGCGGACGCGGTCTCGAGGACGCGATCGCGCGCGGAGGACGACGGCGGGTGGAGGCGCGGGCGTTTCGCCGCGCGGTGGCCTCCTCCTCCTCCTCCTCCACC